TCTAAGTGTTACCATTTGGTTACTCGGTAGAACAAGTAACTTCTTTTGACTTTAACCTTTGCTTTTACAGCAGTTTTAACAGTTCAGTTAAAACAGTTGCAATACTCCTGCACTGAATCCTTTTTCCAGCATTTCAGACATTTCAGTAAGATTCTGGTATCACAAACTCAAATTCAGTACTTCCCTCTGAGGGGTTTTGTTTAAAAATTGTTTCATTTCCCTGCGGAACAAAAATGTCATCCCAGGTGATTTGTTTGGCTGGAGAGTTGGATGTTGCTCCTTCAGCGCCATCCTTCCCTGAGCCAACACGATAGACAACTCCGCCGTCACTGATGCCCGGGACGCTGCTGTGGCGGTCACTGATGTAGGCGTACTGCCTGATCTGCAGGGACCTGCAGGGGTGCAGCCGGTACAGCTTGGTGTCCCCGGACGGGTCCTGGCTGTGAACTGATCTGATGTGGGAGATGGTGATCTGGTAGTTGATGAAAGATTTGCCACACGTCAAGCACTGGTACCTTCGCTCCCCGGTGTGGTGCAGTTCGTGCTTGGTACGATATTCTGCCAGAGCAAAGACTTTGTCACAGTAGCGACACGGGTACTTCTTCTCCCAGGAGTGGACGTTGAAATGTCTCCGCAAGCTCGTCAGACACGCGTACGACCTCTTGCACACCATACAAATGTAGTAGACTCTGCCATCCACTATGAGCTCGTAGTGGTCATCGTGCTTTACTTTCATGCGTTTCCCCTTTGGAGATTCATCATCAGACTTTTTGGGTGTGTCATCAGGCTTGGCTTCCCCTTCCTCAGAGTCACCCTTCACAGGGATGACTATGTCATAGGTATCCTCTCCGATATTTGCATAAACCTTACAGCCTGTGGATAAGCCTCCTATTTCAGTTGCTGTATCTAGTGTTATGATTTTCTGCCCATCTGCCACATTCCTTGATGTTAGACCCGAACTCAGTTCCTTGTTGTTTCCAGACAGGACATCTGAGATTTTTATTTTAAATTCTCCAGCTTTAGGAGGTGGCTCTTGTGAAAATGTAACGACCTGTTTTTTCTGTACACCTGATCCTTCAGTGCTCCCTGCCTTAGGAACAGAAGATTGCTGAACCAAAGAGCTGCTGCTGACCGAACCAGGACTAGAGGAGCTAATGATATCGACATCATCTTCAACAACCTCTTCATCATCAACAGCAGTTGCTTCCACTTCAGTTACGGAGCCATTATTGGATGGCTGCTGGTTCTCCTCAAGTAAATTAATTGTAGGAGTCACGTGTGTTTGATGCAAGGAGCTGGCACCAAGTGATGAGTTAAGCAGAGGCTTGTTTAGCACAATGATATTAGGAGTAAAATGCTGCGGTGTTGCCGAGACGAATGATTCAGCACCTGACTGTGCTTGGCTTGGGCTTAGCTGAGTGGCAGACAGAGTGAGGTTCTGAGCTGCTGTGGTGTTTGTCAAATGGGGAGAGCCACCACTGCCACAGGATTTTTGGTCAGAAGCTCCAGCTGGACTTGAGCAAGGCTGGTTCTGGCTTGCAGCATTTTTGTCTTTAGTACATTCTTTTGGAGGAACAATCTCGGAACAAAATATTACATCATCATCCTCATCATCCGAATCGCTCACTGTGATTTTTGTAGTCTCATATTCTATGCCATGTAAGGAGAATGACTGTGTTATAACTGGCATCCCATCTGCTGCCTCTTGACCCTCTGGCCTGATTACAGTTACCTGTGTTTCAGCATCTCTTTGATTTGGACTAGAAGCTGAAGTTCCTGAAGCACTGTCTTTGACCTCGCTTGGCACATTTTTGCCTTCGGCCGGAGGTATGCCCAGATCAGCGATGAATTTAACACCCAGCTCCTGCCCTGATTTAATCAGTTCATCAAGTAAATCCGATCGGACACTGATTATTTTGGAACTATAAATATAATTAAGAATTTCTGCAAAAATTTCTGCTCTTACAAAGCTCAGTTCAACCACCTGACCAGCCACTGAGAAAAGCTGGTGAAAATATGTGCTTGAGGCTGAAAGGATGTTTCTGTGAGCTCGAAATTTCCGGTCCTCCACAATGACTGTAACATCACAGAACAGTCCATGGCCACGTTGCTCATTCAAAGACTGAAGAAGCACACTAGAATATTGTGTGTCTGTTGCAGAAATAAGTTTTTTCCCCTCCATTCCTACAAAGGGAAAGCAAAAGATACCAAATTAGTAAAAATGCAGATACACAGTTTTAACAGCATGACAACATTCACATATTTACTTCTTTAGGAAAAAACAAATCTGAGATACTGTTCAGAAGATTATATGCTCCTGCACTCTGCAAATTTGTTTCCTATTGTTGTTTGTCCTTTCCTCTTATCCACAAGGTTATGTGGAATTCTGAATATATCCTCTGTTCTTACAAGGTTCTTACAAGGTGAGGAAAAGAGAAACAGCACCTCATCTTAAGCAACAGCAAGTAAGGTTAATTATAAAACCAAGAAAATGGAAGTTTTGGGTCCCAAAAACAGCTTTAAACATTATTAGTAATTTAATTTTAATTATGAAATATTCCATAGATTATGAGAAAGCCCAATAGCATGAAGTTATTTATGACCAGACACCAGAATCTGTGTGTCGACATATTACCAATTGACTGAGTTAATGAAAATGCTATGGATAGTGCACTTACTTCCCCAGAAAAATAAACTTTTTTTAACCCCATGTCACATAGTTGCAAGGCTTTGTATTTCAAACCGAGACTCAGAAGCAGCACTGTAGCAAAGCAGATCTGCTAAGTCAAAGTAACCTATCTGTCAGCATTGCCCATTCAAAGCCCCGCAATAAGCGGCAAAAAGCAACATCCAAATACAGAACAGCGAGTCACGGGCTCTAATGTTACCCGTAAAACTTTTATTTCCGCAGGCCAGGCCGGGCCAGGCCGGATGAGACGCCGAGGCCGGAGTCCCGGCCGGATGAGACGCCAGCCCGGGGAGCGCGTCCTGGCCGGGTCCCCCGCGACCCCGGGCCCGGCCGTGAGAGCCGCGCTGCGAGCGGCGCCAGCGCCGAGGCAGCAGCGGCCGGAGGCCGAGCGGGAGCGGCGGCGCTGACAGCGGTGGGCCCGGGAGCGGCCTGGCAGCACCGGGCCCGGGCTGATGGGCGGCCCTCCGCCGCTGCCCGCCGGCTGAGCCGTGCCGAGCCCCCGGCCGGGCGGGAGGCGCAGCCGAGCCCGCCGAGCCCGCCGAGCCCGCGCTCCCCGCGTTACCTGCGCCGCGCTCCGGCAGCGGCCCCGCCGCCCGCACCGCCGCGCCCGCCGCACCGCCGCCGGGGGGCGCTGCCGGCGCTGCCCTCGGCTCTGACCCGAGCGGCCTCGGGAACCTTCGGGCCGGGGCGGGGCCGGGCCGCGCTCCCGCCGCTCCCGCCCGGGCCGGGCCCGCCCCGCGCTCCGCGCTCCGCGCCGCCGGCAGCCCCGGGGCCGCGGGCTCGGCGCTGCGGAGGCTGCGGGCGCTGCCTGGACACACCGCCCGCGTCACCGCCCCGAGGAGCGCGGCCCTGACCCTGCCTCAGCGCAGGCCGCGCTCGGGGCTCGCACGCCGGCCTTGCTGCGGCCCTGGCAGCTCCCGCCCGGCTCCCCCCGCCCCGTGTCCCGGGCACTGCCTCACGGCCGAGCGCGGGGATAAGGCCGTGCGGACGCTGTTTCCCGCTGAGTCTCGTTCCCTTCCCGGGGGCATTGGCGCTGCTCTGCCAACGCTGACGCAGCCGGGACCTCCGCCCAGCACCGAGGGGAGCTCAAACCCACACCTGAGCACCCTCGCTGCTGCTGCGGGAGCATTTATGTGGAATTCTTTGCGCCACAGGGACACGTGTTAGACTCTGCCAGCAGCCGTACGGACATTGACCAAATGCGACTCTCGGCACATTCGACATGTGGCCACTGGAGTGACACATCCACAGCACGGCCTCTGGGAAACTGTTGCTGTTCAGGAATGCTCGAAGAACACCGAGATCATGAAAGATATTTTTCATCTGTGGTTACTGATCTGTTCCTTTTTTTTTTTTTCCCTCTATGCATTCTGTGGACTTGAACCACAGGGGTTCCTGATTTTCCTTAAGATTCAACAACTTTGACAAGAACGAATGTCCTGTCAAGTTCGATGAAAAACATAACAGGCCACAGTCACTGGCAGACATGACTGCAATCCTTCACCTCGTAAATCAGCAATGAAATGGTCCTGCCAGGTTTATGAGCAAGAAATAAATAATAATTTCTTCTAGCAAGAAAATCACCTGCCAGGCTCCCTGTATTTGTATAGCTAGTAACACAAGTGCCTTTCTGAATTGAGCCTTCACATTTTAAATGTTACAAAACCAGTTTCTGTTTATTTATAGGTTTTACTAGAGAGTTAGTTGAATGAGGATAAATAATAGAAAACACTCATCAGGAAAAACATAGGCTTTTCTTCCTCACACGATCCTTCAATACTTTTCTCCTTTGATACAGGTTATTCGTAATTTTTACCCATGAGGCTATATTAAATGAAAATAATACTATAATTGTTTAAATACTTAATCCAGTGCTTTTTTTCTCCTCCAAAAATGTGTGATGGCCCAAATTAAACAATTTTTTTAGCCTTGCATCCTGCAGCTTTAAGGATTTCTATTCTCAATGCCTCGTCCAATACTAAATAACTAACAGGAAAATTTACAGCCACAGATGAGCACTTGGAAGGATTCCTGCTCCTAAAGGCATCACTAGATCTCAAAAATCAGGTTTAAACCACTTATTCTTAGGCACAGAAATGCTGCCTGATTTAAAAGCTGCCGGGAGAGCTGCACCATCTCCTTGATTTTTACCTTTCTAACAGCAGCATTTCTCTATGGCAAGTCCTTCTGTCAGATAAAAAATCTGAACCCCACGGTCACACTGCTGCAGTCAGGACAGAGTTAATGCTCTCCCCAGCTCAGCCAATTTGACTGAAGCTGCACCATCTTGCTGCACCTAAAAGCTGAATTTCAGTGTGCATTTTTTTTTGTCAGCATGCATCTCCTATTTTAGGGGTTGTTCTTTCCACTTTTATGTTCAGATAAGCCTAGAAAGTGTTTGGTGGTTCAAGTCACATAAAACCTTACAATATAAATAACAACATAAAAGAACCGTTTTATCTAAGATAAGAAACATCCAGGATATAGAACTACATGTGGTTGTCTTGGAACTGAATATGTAAGAGACCCAATAGCAACTTTTATCTTAATGTATAGAAGTGATCAAAAAAACTTTGGGATGGAGGCTCTGAAAATATGAAGTACAAATTTAAAGAAATTTATGTGCAGGCCTTTTTCAAGATGACAAAACAGTATGCAATTCAGTAACGAGTTTTCAATTAAGCAATTTGAGAAGCTCTTTTGTTTTTAAAAACTCCACTTTGCGAGAACAGAAAATTCTTTTAAAGAGCTGACAAATTTGAGAGACAAAGTAACATTCTCCATCATGAAAACATGTATTTTACGTTAAAGTAAATTAAATTTTATAAGCAGAACAGTTAAGGGTTTTCAATAAAATTTGAAATTCAACAGTTATCCTACCTAAGACTACCTTTAAGGACAGAAATATTCTTCCACTGTGGGAATTCAAATTAAAAATTACTGCTTCTGAAAGACTCTAAAATACAAATTTTCACTGTTTATGCCTTGAAGAAATCTCTGAGACTATTTCTCCTGCCAATCCCATTATATAAACCTCATATATCTGAATTAAGAGTCCAGTGATCTTTTTATTGACATTAGTAGTTGTAGATGCTGTTATGTACTGCATGACATTATAACTCGTGTACAAAAGCACTTCAAGTCACCTAACGATATTAGGTAACACAAGTGCAGATTGCTCCTGAGGCAGATGTTTTAGGCATCATTTAGTCAGATCTAAAATAATCCAAAATTAGTTTGCCAAAATAATCAAAAGAAGGGAGAATATAGGCTGTCCTCACACAGACACAGGTGACAGTAATGGGCAATCTCTGGTAAATCTTTTCCCTCCCTCTACTGCACATGGTTCCATGTACCCAAATAAATACACAGTTTAAAGAGGCTTCCTCCATCTTACAGGGTTTTTTAAATGCTGTTTATGGTAGGTTTAGGAGCTAAAATACTGCTCCATTTGTGAAAAAGAGACTGACATACCCTGACATAATTTCTAGACAGCATAAACCAGCATGGGCTTCCCAGGGTGGAGCTGCTGTCCAAAATGCCCCGTTGACACGGAGCTGGCCAGACCCAGCGATAGCACACTGCATTTCCAGAGCTGAGCAGAAACTCGGGGTTTATTTAAGAAAGCTCCGTGGCAACATGGTCAAACCTGAGGGGGAAGGGCGCTCACAGAAGAGTGGGTGTCTCATCTGAATAGATAATTTGTATAATCTTTATAGATAAAGGTTAAGGTTGGAAAAGACGTAAGATCATCAAATCCAACCTGAACCCAGCGCCAGCACCACGTTCACCATTTCACCATGTCCGTAAGTGCCATCTCCACACGGTTTTTTAACATTTCCGGGGACGGTGACTCCACCACATCCCTTGCAGCCTATTCCTGTGCTTGATAACCTTTCCCATGAAAAAAAATTTCCTAATACTCACCCTAAAGCTCCCCTGACGCAACTTGGGGCCGTTTCCCCTCGTGCTGTCAGTGTGGCCCTGAGCGGCCGCACCGGAGCGGCGGCAGCGCCGTGTCAGGCCGCGGGGAGGTGCCGCCGCCCGAACACCGACCGGGCCTCGCCCGGGCCGGGCCGTGCCAGGCGGCGCCGGGCCCGGGCAGGACCGGGGAGCCCCGCCGGGGCACGCTGAGCTGTCCGCGGGGCAGTGCTGCTCCCGGGCCGCCCTGGACAGCTCCCGGGGCCGCGGCCCCGCGCCGGTGCCCGCGGAGCGGGGCGGAGCCGGGCCCGCGCCGCCACCGCCCCCCGCCCGCGCCTCTCGCCGCGTCCGCGCCTCACCTTCCGCCGCCGCCGCGCGCGTGTCCATCGCTGCCTGGCGGCCACCGCGGGGCACAAAAGGAGCCGCCGCCGCGTTGCCGGCCGGGCGGGTGGGGCGGTGACCCCGCGGGCGGGGCCGCCCCGCTCCCGCCCCGCTCCCGCCCCGCTCCCGCCCGGCCGGGAGCGCACCGGAAGCCGCCGGAAGCGCCTCCGCTTCCGCTATGGCGCCCGCGTCCCGCTCCCGCTCCCCGCCCGCCGCCAGCTCCGAGCGCCGCGGCCGCCGCTCGCGGTCCCGCTCCCGCTCCCGGGAGCGCAATGGCCCGAGGCGCCTGAGCCACCGGCGGAGCCGCAGCCGGTCCCGCAGCCCCGGCGCGCCGCGCTCTTCCGCGCACCACGGGCACCACCACCACGGCAAATGGCCCGAGTACTACGAGAAGGAGAAGGAGGAGATCCTGCGGCAGAGGTGAGCGCCGGCGAGGGGCCGGGGCTGCCCCGCCGGGCCCCGCTCCGCGCGGGTGGGACGGGTGCCGCGGCCGGGCCCGGTTCTGTACGGCCCCTCACGGCTCAGCCCTCACGGGCTCCCCGTGCGTTCCCCGGCAGCGCCGCCCGGGGCAGGCGGGACGGAGCTCGGCTGGAACGGGCTGACAGCTGCTACCGCCGATCCTCGGCGGTGTGCGGAGCTCTGCTGCCTGACTGCCCCTGCGAGCTTGCTTCGTGCTCCGAGTTCTTTCTCATCCTTTCTCTAGCTGCTTCAGGCGATTACAAACACTAACGTGTAAGACTTAAAATGTTTGTGTGCTGGGTGTTGCAAACTAGGCGTCAGTGTCAGTGTTTTCCTTTACAGGCGACTCAATGAGAGAGAGAGAATTGGAGAACTGGGTGCACCTGAAGTCTGGGGGCTGTCACCAAAAGTTCCTGACCCAGAGTAAGGCAGAGTCTTTCTTCATGTTTTTTATAATATTAATTACATATCAGTTCAGTTTATAAAAATGCTTTATCCCTGCATTAGTCTTGGTGCCACAATACTTATTGTGTCAGTTCCTTTCTGAAGCAGCATAAGGAGATTGCTATTTTTTCAACCAAATAATTCCAACATAGCAATTATGCAATACATTATTTATTGTAGATCAGGTGACTGTTGTGTTGTGGTTCTGACAGCAGTTCCCAGGCTAAATTATTTTTATAATATCTTTGATATTTTACTCCTTTGCAGGGATTGATTCAAAATGTCTTTGGTCATTTGTATACCTTTGATCTTGAGTACAACAAAACAGATCTTAAGTAGCAAACTGTTATTTTATTCAGTTCCGATGAGCACACACCAGTAGAAGATGAAGAGGCAAAATCTAAGAGTAGTTCTTCGGATTCCAGCTCAGAAGGTATTTTGTTTGGCTTGCACAGCTTTTTTGAAAATGGGAAGCTGCTGTGGCTTAGAATCTGCTGCTGCTTGCAGGAGGTTCCCTGGCTTAGAAGGGTGGAAGCGGTTGGGGTGGGCTCCAGCTCAAAGGAGAGCATTGCTTTGGGAAGATCAGGGAATACATATGGAACCAGGTATTCTTTGTTCTCTAATTTTATGTTTAAATACATTCTAGAGGAAAAGAAGAAAAAGAAGAAGAAAAAACAAAAGAAAAAACGTAAAGCATCCAAAAGAAAGCGCAGGAAACATTCTGAGGACAGCGACAGTGATTCAGAGTCTGAGCAGAACTCCAGTGGTAAGACAAGAGGGTCTCAGCTTGCAGTCTGGCCTCAGGAAATGGGATTTCTGAGTTTAGCGTCCACTGGGCCTCTCATGCCAGAGATGTCTTTGATATGTTCTCATATCGACCTGCACTGCAGGCCTTTCTCCTAACCCTTTCCCAGTATAAACAAGTCCCATCAGGATGTGTACTAGGGCATGCTGGAGGAGGCAGTTAGTGCTGGGAATAGGCTCAGAGTTAGGTTAGTGGTTAGGTTAATTGGTAGGGGTAGTGGTTAGTATAATTCTTAGCAGTAGGGTTAGGGGAGTGGTTAAGCTTAGGACTGAGAGAGTAAAAGAGCCTATGGCTCCATGAGTACTGAGACTGGAAAAAACATGCCAAGGCAATCCCAACATTGCTATTCCTACATCATTCTGACCTGGAAAGCCCATATTATTGAGTTTGGGTTAGGGCTAGGGCTTAGGCTTAGGGTTGAGCAAGTCACAGAGCCCGCAGCTCCGTGAATACTGGGGCTGTAAAGGTATGCCATGTTATTCACAGGGCAGTAAACTACTGAGTTATAATTAATAATTTATTTTTGATAATACATACACTTTCTTTTTTTCAGATGAAGATAAAAAGAAAAGCAAGAAGAGGAAAAAGAAGACCAAAAAGTAAGTGTTGTGGTTGCTGTGTCATTTTGGCTGCTGTTGCCTGGAGGGCAGCTCAGTTTTCTTCGCAGGCCCTGAGGGAGCCTGAGGACCTTAGGTCATTTGCAAGAGCTGGCAAATAATATTATTTTGATAGCTTTTATTTAAATCTACACAATTGTGCAGCACAAACAACTCTCTGTAGAGCCACTTTCTAACACTCTGTGAAAGTCAAAATAGAACATATATATTGTCTTGGCTTTGGTGTAAAGTGTTTTGTATGAAACAGCAGACAGCATTCTTCCTATAGGTAGAAGTTGCCTTGAGAAACTAATTGAGTATGATTCCAAGCACCTTCTTTAATCTTAAATTTTGATAAATAGCATGTCTGTCTGGCTTTACCACAGGAAGAAGTATAAGAAAAAGAAAGCTAAGAAGAGCAGGAGGGAATCCAGTGATTCAAGCAGCGAAGATTCCGATGATGAAATGCTTCAAGGGGATGATCTCTGGATAGAGAGATCAAGTAAGTTCACCTGACTTTAAACTTGGATAGAAACTTCTTGATGTCCTTTTTGTGAATTCGTTGTTAGGTGTTGCTGACCTGTATAACCCTTCTGATAACAAAGAACAATGGATACAAGATTAATCTTCCTCATTATTTGATTGTTGCAGAAAATACTGAAGCTGATAGTTTGATTGGACCAGAGGCTCCCAAAACTCATGCATCTCAGGATGATAGGCCTTTGAAGTGAGTAACCAGCTCTAATGGTACTTTGATCAAATCAAGTAAATCAAGTGTGAAAATTATTGTTTGAAAGGGCTGTTGCAACAATAAGGCATGCAGAGGGAGAAATGCTGAGCCAGAAACTCACAGACAGAAGCTAGTGGTGCTAGGCTTTCCCCTGGCCTGAATTTAGGTAGAAGAGTTTGGTTTATGCTGTTTAGCCTTGATTCCTAGAAAAATCAATTGTAGGTGCCTTTATTCTAAAGATCTGCAGTATTGTGACTTCGTAGTGTCATTAGAATGAACTCAGCTGATAATTTGAGATGTTGTTGCTAGTGTTGCCATAAGGAAGAAACAGGCCAATATGTGGGAAAGAGTAAGTGTTCAAAACCACAGCTTTATATAGTAGTGAAGGGGGAAGTTGGATGTTTAGCTCAGGCTCTCTCTATCTGAAACTATTGAAATCACCACTTTTGTTTTTTAGCTATGGGCACGCCCTCCTGCCCGGTGAAGGTGCAGCCATGGCAGAGTACGTAAAAGCCGGGAAACGCATTCCCCGCAGAGGTGAAATCGGCTTGACAAGTGAAGAGATCGCTTCGTTTGAGAGCTCTGGTTATGTCATGAGTGGCAGCAGGTATGGTTTTGATGATGGCAGTGGTTCAGTGGAATTTTCAAGAGCTGCTTTCTCTGCTGGCCGAACAGAAGGCTTCTTCCAAGCTTTACTTGTAAGCATGGAGGAGAAGGTGCTCTGCTTGCAATAATCTACACTAAACTCCCCATTGCTAGAGATGGATAGTGAGTTTTTCAAGGATACTTTCTCCTCAAGAGCAAAAGTTCTTTACAGGCAATACTCTTCTAATTATTTAAAATGAAGAGGTGCTTGTGTCAGGTGGCTCAAAGGTGGTTTGTTTGGAGGACAGCCCTGGGGATGTGCTGTCCCTTCAGCAGGAGATAGATCAATGTGTGAGAGGTTGGCTGCACTTTTTTTCTCTATGATAACAGGAATCTCACTTAAATTTTGGTGAGCCAGCAACTGACACCCTGGGGGTAGGGGAGGCTTTTGGCTAACTGCCTGAAAACAGACCTCAGAAATCAGTTCCTTGCTCTGCCACACTCCTTCCTGGGAAGGTTAGTGTGCAGTTTAGGTTATCTAATTTAGTATCTGTTTTGCCAGTTGGCAGGGTCAGCACAAAAGGTTCAGAAACAACATTAAGGACTAAGTATAATTTGTTACAGTGCAAAACTGCAAATAATTACAAAGGATAAACTAAGTAATGCATCTTATAGTTACTGCAAAAGATTGCCTAGAGTGATTAAGAAAGATACATCACCAGTTACCCTGATGCTTTACCATAATCCAGATCTGCACATCAGCTGGGGAGCCCCAGTCAGAGCAAAGGATTGGAGAACCATTCCTGGGAATTCCTGTGTGGTGTGTCCACCTGTAGGCGAGGCCTCCATCTTCACTGTGAGAGGGCCCAGCTTTAAGAGTGTAAAATAAACAAGCTTACACAACTTCTAGTGCAGGAACATGTGATTTCATCCTCCTCTTGGGTTCCACCCAAAGCCTGGGCAGGGCTCAAGGAGGGACCAGGGGAGCTGGCTTTGATCATATACCTTCAAACAAGGCCAGATTTCTGATTTCATGCCTTTGTCTGGCTTTGAAATTCAGAAAGATAAATATATTCTTATCAAACGTTTCACTAATGATCATGGCCGTAATGAGTGGATACAAATATAACATTTTGTGGGAAGGTTCATCTAGAGGTCAGCTTTGGCTCAGGACCTGTTGTTCAGGCCTTAGTACTTCAGTTTGTTTATTTAAAGCCCCTGACACGTTCAGGCCAGCTGATGGCTGGAGGCTGTGCCAGGGCACTGACACCCTGCCCATGCTGATGTACCCCGTGTTCTCCCCCACAGACACCGGCGCATGGAAGCCGTGCGCCTGCGGAAAGAGAACCAGATCTACAGCGCAGATGAAAAGAGAGCTCTGGCATCCTTCAACCAGGAGGAGAGGAGGAAACGAGAGAATAAGATCCTTGCAAGCTTTCGAGAGATGGTCTACAGAAAGACTAAAGGCAAAGAGGAAAAATAATGCTTCATTTGTGCTGTACTCCATAGCTTGCACTACGTGGCAGCTAACACAGTACAGATGTGATTTGAAGAAAGCTGCAGGTGCTGCAGCACCTTTCACCCAACAGGGCCAAGCCTCAGGCGTGGATTACTTGTGTCAAGGAAACAGTTATTTTCATCAGATTGTCTTGGATGGTTTGTTTACCATCTACAAGGAATCCCTGTAAAGAGAAAGGCTACAAGGCAGGAACAGGCGGGGAAGATTGGAGGTGTCAATGTTCTGCACTTTGAATCCGACAAGCCAAAGGAAGGTTTTGTTACCTAATACCAAGAAGTGTGGGGTTTTTATTCCATTTATTTTTACTAATCATAGGATCATTTAGCTTGGGAAAGACCTTTAACAAGCTACTAGCACCAATAGCAAAAATGAAGGAACGCCTGAGTTCCTGTTTTGAGATCCAGGACAGTCCACTATTTTTTCACATCTTTTAAATTTAGGTTTTTCCTCCAAACACTTGAGTTTCGTTTGTGATTCAAACCAGACGTGTGTATATTTTGTAAATGAGTTTGTAATTTAATACAGATGGGCTTCAGTTACTTTAGAGCAAGCAGATGGCAACTGAGGTGTGAAGTAACAGTAATAGGGTCTGATCTTCAACCACTGAAACACATGGTGAAGAACTAAGTTGCTTGCTTCTTTTTCTCCTATGTTATACATAGGCATCAGTGCAGTGGGGTGCAGTGATTGGAACCCCTGTATGCACACAGGTGGTAACAAGGATGTATCTTCCAATTTCTTTGAAATGCTTTTGTTTATGGAAGTGTTCTAGATTAAACCCTTGTTTTAACTCCTATAGTATTTTACTTTGATCTGTTTCAGCAGCATTTCATGGCTTGCTTTAAACTCTGTGCTTGGAGGCTTTGCTCAGGCAGTGCTTATGTGGTGGTTATCTTTGATTCAACTGCGTATTTCCAAACATATCTCCTAGAACTTTTTTTCAAATGTTTTTTAAACCAAAATGGTTTTTAGAAATTGGTTGTTTCTTTTTTGTTTCCCTAATTTATTTTTCTTTTTTCCTCTAAGTCTAGCAGCAGAGATGTCTTGTATATTTGTATCAAGAAAATAAAAGTCCTAAAGTTCTATAATGTTTTCCCTGGAGTTCCACAGACCTGGCATTCACAAACAGCAAATCCTGCCCAGCTGCCTCTTCCCATTTACACCCTGGAACCTGGTTCCATCCTGCTGTCCCCACCCATACCTGCCAGGGGCTGTCACACACAGCCAGCTGCCATGGCAGGGCATAGCTGATTTTGCACAGGTTCAATGCTTTTTATCTATCCACAAAGTAGAAATGCTGCTAAGGAAGAGCTTTTTCTCCTTCATCATGTTTATTTGGTTCTCCACAGCAGAGTATTGGTAATGGTGAATTGGAGCTGCTCATCGGGAAGCAAGTCTTTCTGCACACATTATTTTATTTTCAATGATGTCCTGAAGCCACTTTTCTCTAAACTGACACTGTTCTGGCCTGGAAAATGGAATAAAAAGATAGATTGTAAGCATAATACTGAATCCAAGTTTAGCCAGATGAGAGTTTGCCTTTATCCACCACGTAAGGCTATCTGCTGCAATAAAGACCCCCACCTAGACCCATGTAAATCAGAACAAATTTCTGAGAATGCAGATGCTCATGGGTTATTCAAGCCTCTGGGGATGAAGCTAGTGATAAGCAGGGTCATTTCATGGAGCAAGATTTTGACAATTTCCACTCCTCTGCTATTATTGCAAACTTACTTGCATCGAGCTCCCTGTTTGGTTTTGGAATGGAAAAGCTTGCTAAAACAGAACAGTAATAACATTTACCTCCGAATCAGCCTGCTGGACTCCAGTCTGTAGAACACCTCGACAGGTGCAGTCTGCAACACAGCAGAGACAGGGCAGAGGCCATGTACAGCCCCTCAAAAAAAATTGTAATTAAGTGAGAGCTAATATTTACTTTAAAAATAACCTGGATATTTGGTTGGGGCAGAAGGGAAGATGCTGCTCAGGGACTGGCTGGACATTGGTTGGCAAGTGCTGAGGAATTGTTTTCATTTGCACAACTTGTCTTTCATAGTTTTTTTTCCTCCGTTTGTTTTTATTTTCCCCAATTTGTTGCTATTGTTCTATTTATTTTTTAATATTATTACACTTTTTTTATGCTTTCAATTCTCTCCTCCATAGTAGGGGAGAAGGAGTGAACAAGCAGGTCTGTGATGCTTACTTACCAGCTGGAGGTTAAACCACAGAATCATATTTGGGGATCCATAGCTGTTAAGCAGAAACACTAAGGTTCAGTATGATGTGAGCCTGGAGGTAAGAAGTCTACTCAGTGCAATTTCTTTCTTTTTTTTCTCTTGGGTTGCAAGAGGTCATTGTACAGGTGCAAACTTCAAGCTGATCAGGAAAGGGATTTTGAGACAGCTTGAAAAGCAAAGTGTCACACTCTCTCTACTGGCCTCTCATTCTGTAACTCACCTCTACTCAGCCCTTGTAACAGCTGCCCAGAACAATTGTTGCTTGGAAAGGGAAGATGGTAAGAGCGGGAAGGCAGATGTAGGATCCTGCCAGATTCTGTTTGTCGAGCTTTGTTAGTCAATGATTTGGGAACTAACCCAGCCTCCTGCTCTGTGCCTCGCTCTCCTTGCCAACCGATGGCATGTTTCTTTTAGGCCACATCTAAACCTCCTGCCATTTTCTGGACATGGCCAGGCATTGTCAGCATCTTCACAAGAGCTGCTGGCTCCTCACCAGCCTCTACTCTCTCCTGGCACTTTCCTGCCTCAGGAATGCCACTGGACTCTTGTCCCTTAAAGGACTAGTCCATGCACACCATTTCTGAGTACTTACGTCAGGTTTGAATTTGGAGATCACTATAATGAAGTACACACTTGCTGTTGCTCGTGGGATGGGTTTCCTACGTGTTGGGAGGCCCCAGCAAGCTCTGTAATGGTACCTCTTGCTGTTCTTCAGTTCTTCTTCCTCGAGAAATTCTGAGTGGTAAAGCCAGCTTTCATGAATGTCCCATGTCTGTTGAACAAACACATCACACTAAGATTCCCTATGTCTAGTAGAGCTGACTTGAGGGTGGTGCTAAAAAGGAACAGAGGTGCTCTTGTTTAATTTTTCATATTTCTTAACAGTGAGAAAGTGTGGCCTTCCTGAGTGGATGGAATTCTGACTCACAGAAATTAGTTCTTCGATTTGCTGCTGTCCTCTCTCCACTGTGAAGTTCTTGGCTGTGGTCCATGCGATATTTTTGATGACATGCTTGCTTTCTAAAACAGATAAAATGCTGACAAATCCTCCTGAAAAGACTCCAACACATTCTAGTAGAGCAAACACAATACCTTTCTCTTTTTCCTTGGCCTCTGGAAGACATTCCTCTGTATTATTTCTCTGATCTTCCTGGGGAATGTTATCTTTTTCCTCACTGGCAACTTCTTCCTTTTCCTCGTCCATTGGCTTCACCTTCAGAGAGAAAAACGCACAAACATCGAGCGAGCCCCGGTCTGAGAGCTGCAGGCCCCATCTGCGGAACACGGGGAGCAGCGGGCAGTCCCTCACGGCCCCGGCTTCGTACCCCGGCCCTGCTCACCCCGCTGGGCGCTCCCGGGCGGCGGCGGCTTCTGCCCCGCTGCCCCGGCCAGGCCGGGGGTCCCCAGGCCCGGGGGTGCCGGGGCCGGGGAGCTGCGCCGGAGCCCGGGGAGCTGTGCCGGTCCCGGGGTGTGCCCGGGGAGCTGTGCCGGTCCCGGGAGCTGTGTCGGAGCCCAGGGAGCTGTGCCGGTCCCCGGGAGCTGTGCCGGTCCCGGGGTGTGCCCGGGCAGCTGTGCCGGTCCCCCGGGAGCTGTGCCGGTGCCGGGAGCTGTGCCGCTCGGTGCTGTCCCCGCGCGGTCACCATGGCACCGCTCGGGGCAGCCGCGGCCCGCCCGGCCCGGCCCGGCCCTGCCCCGCGGGACCGCCCCGCCGCCGCGGGCTGCCGGGAGGGACGGCAGCTGCGGGATCCAGGCGGGTTCTCACTTTCTCGTATTTTTGCAAATCTGGACAATTCGTCTGTGCTCTGCCGGGCAGCGCTCTGTCCAGCCCGGTGCACTGAGGTGCTGCAGGCTCCGAACAGCAGCGCTGGCAACACGCCGAGCTTCAGACGGAAAGGATCACGGGAGAAGCCAGAAATGCTCTAGCAGGTCACAGGGTGCTGAATTCCCAGCGGCTCCTCTTCCAGCATGACTAGAGGCCGTGAGGCAGGGGGTAGAAGCCCTGCAGCCCGTGTTGCGAGACCACAGTGAGCTGTGCCCCTGCAGGTCCATGAGGGAGCAGAGATCCACCTGCACCCAGGAACGACCCATGCTGGAGCAGGTGGGAAGCTCATGCTGGAGCAGGCTCTGGCAGGACCCTTGTGCCCATGGAGAGAGGAGCCCACTGGAGCAGGTTTGCTGGCAGGAAATGTGACCCTGCTGGAGCAGCTGAAGGACTGCACCTTATGTGTGGGACCCATGCTGGAGCCCTTCATGAAGAACTGCAGCCCATGGGAAGCACTCACACTGCAGAAGTTAGTGAAGAAGTCTTTCATGGGAGGAACCCCATGCTGGAGCAGGGGACGAGTGTGAGGAGTTCTCTCCAGAGGAGGAAGGAGCAACAGAAACATGGGATGACATTGACCACAACCCCCCTTCCCCATCACCCTGTGCAGCTCAGCAAGGAGGAGGTAGAAAATATCAGGAGTGAAGCTGAACCCAGAAGGGAGGAGTGGGGGAAAGGTGTTTTGATTTCTCATTACCTTGCTGTTATCTGACAATACATTAAATTAATTTCTCCAAGTTGAGTTTCATTTGCCTGTGACAGTAACTGATGAATGGTCTCTCCCTCTCCTTGTCTCAATTCATGAGCCTTTCAATGTATTTCTGTCCCTGTCCAGCTGAAGACAGGAGTGGCAGAGTGGCTTTGGCGGGAACCTGTTGCCCACCACAGCAACACAAATACAAGGGCTGAACACATGTATAGCTTTATTTAAGAGTGAAATCATTTTCTATAGATATATGAATTTTTCAAAGCGTTGACACCTTAGTCTATGTTCTCCAGACCCTGAAAAAGAAAAAAATAACAGCTATATTTGTGTCGTTCATGCCACTAATGTACAACCGAGCATATCTGAAAATGCAGATTTTCAAACTACATTTAATGACCCGGGTCTTAATTAGAACAAAATTAAATGCACATCCCCAGAGGCAGGCCAGCTGCAGGCACCGAGTGAGAGCTGACAAGAGCGACCAGCGCCCACCTCGGGGGCCGTCCCAGAGCTGGGGATGGGGGAGCAGCGCCCGGGTCCCGCTTTCCCCCGGCGGTACCTGCCCAGCGCCCCAGACCTGCCTTGGACACGTAGTACTTGTTGACTCCCGACAGCCGCCGGTCCCTCTCCATCAGGGTCCACTCGTAGGGGTAGCGGGCCACCCTCTTCTCCTGCAGGCACAGAAGTGCCTGTTAAAGCCTCGGGCAGGGCTCCCGAGGGAAGGCGGGTAAGGGGAGCCCCGGGAGGAAGGGATCCCAGGGGGATGCAAGGGGCCGGGGGATAAGGGCGGCTCCGGTGGGGAAGCGGAGCCTCAGGTCGCGGATCCCAGGACCTCCCGCGCTGACCTTGCCGCCGTGACACCAGCGGTGCATGAAGATGGTGGCCATGCCGGGGACGGTGAGGCAGACGCCCATGATGGCCATGCCGGGCAGGATCTCGTACCACATCCCGCCGCTGCCGCTGCCGGTGCCGGTGCCGGTGTCGCTGTGCCGTGTGCCGGGGCACTCCCGGCCTGCCCCGCGCCCTTCCCGGCCTGCCCCGCGCCCCCTCACTGCCTAACGGGCCCGAGCGGGCAGCGGCAGCGCCGCCGGGGAACAGTCCTTGGCAAGAAGTGAGGCCGTGCCCGTGTCCCGGTTCGCCCGGTACCGTTCTCGGGCCCGGGCGCTGACCCCGCCGGGAGGAGCGGCGGCGGGCGCGGTGCGCGCTGGGAGCGGTAGTCCGGCGGAGCAGCGGCGCCTTTAAGGCGCAGTCTCGCGAGAGGCGGCGGCGGTCGGTGCGCGCGGCGCTGCCCGGCCCGGATCGGGATCGGGATCGGGATCGGGATCGGGATGAAGGAGGACAAGGAGAACGCCAGGCCCAAGGAGCGGCGCGGGGCCCCCGCCGCGCCGGGGGCTCTGCTGGCCGCGGCACCAGGCTCGGGCCCCGCCGCCGGCACGGATGGCAGAGCCGGCGCCGCCGAGCTCGATCGCCTGGAGCGGCCCAAGGACAAGAAGGAGACGCTCAGCAAGGTGGGGCCTCCGCGCCGCCAGCAACGGCGCCTTGCCCGGTAACGGGGCTCGCCCTCTGTAACGGGCCCCTCCTCCCTCCGGTAACGGGGCTCCCCCTCTGTAACGGGACCCTGCCCCGCTAGCGGGCCCCCCTGGGACGGGCCGTGTCGGGGAGGCGCGGTAATGCCCCGTCCCCGGCGCTGCCGCCGCCCTGAGCGCCGGTCCCGCCGTGCCGCAGGTGGTGATCCGCCGGCTGCCGCCCAGCCTGACGAAGGAGCAGCTGGAGGAGCACCTGCAGCCTCTGCCCGAGCACGACTACTTCGAGTTCTTCGCCAACGACTCCAGGTACGGCCGCCCCGCAGCCCGGGCGCTCCCGGAGCCGCCGCTGCCGCCAGTGGGCCCCGGTGGCGCCGCCGCTGCCGCCCCGTCAGCCCAGCGCTCTCGGTTTGTGTCTCTGCAGCTTGTACCCGCACATGTTCTCCAGAGCCTACATCAACTTCAAGAACCAGGAAGATATAGTCCTATTCAGGGATCGCTTCGACGGCTACGTTTTTGTCGATCACAAAGGTGAGTGAACGGCACTCGATGGATGTTATTGCTTCCCTGCTGTCCATGACGTGTGCTGGCTGATTTTGGAGGGGTGGGTGTGAGCAGCCACGTCTGACCTCTTTGGGTTTAGTGCCTCAAAAACACCTCCAATACCTCTAGAGCTCCAATACCTCTAGAAATATATGTATATATAGATCCGATAACATCTGAGTCCTTTAAATGAGCTGGTTTGCAGGTAACAGCACACTGTGTTTGCCATACCCAGCTGGATTCGTGCAGCTATAAATGTAGTGTTCTTGTCAGAAGATAACACTTTAAAGCCTGTTTGTCATGTGTTGCATTCTATTATATTTTGTCAAAAGTTGAAACTTGCCTCAGTTGCACTTACTTAAAGTATTCTTTCTTGCACGATGTACACAGAGTCTGTAGGATGAGGCCATTGTGCAGTGTGGTGCCACTGAGGTGGCAGACCAACAGTCATGGGCAGTCTTAAATCTGGCATGTCCTTCTTGTCAGCCTGTGAATTGGCTGGTTTGTTAGTATAGTGAGAGTGTTTAGGTCATGAGTTCTGCTGTCTCTAGAATGTTCTTTTATCAAATGGTTTTCCAAATACAATAATTTTTTTATGCTGTGTAAGTAGTCTATTCTAGTATTGCATATTTCTTGTGAGACTTACCTCCCTGCTTTAGATGTGGACGATAGGATCTATTTTATATCCATGTAATCTTTATTTTAATGTATTTTTTTTCTCTCAACAGGTCAGGAATATGCTGCAATAGTTGAGTTTGCACCTTTCCAAAAAGCTGCCAAAAAGAAGAGTAAGAAAAAGGATGCCAAAACTGGAACTATTGAAGATGGTAAAACAGCGAGCTAGTTTGTTTTTTCATGTGTAGACTTGAAACTCTTAGCAGTAATTTGAATGTAATGTTTTTACTGTGACACTATAGTTCCACCAATAGGATATTTGCTGAATTATATGTGAAGTTTATGAGCACTACTTTGTCAATGAGAAATCTATTAAATATGATTGTCCCAGACAAACATAATACGGCAGCTCATTTGAGAGCTGCTAACTTATGAAAAGGTGGCATATAAAAACCCAGCTGAAATAAATGTAACTGAGCAGTGCATGATGCAACTACTTTTCATGCTACAGTATCTCTTCTTTCCCCCCACACCTTTTTCCCTTTTCTTCTGTGTAGATCCAGAATACAAGAAGTTTTTGGAAAGTTACAGTGCAGATGATGAAAAATTAACCTCCACTCCTGAAACTTTGTTGGAGGAAATAGAGGCAAGAAACAAAGAGCTAATAGGTATGAAAATCTGTGTACTATAGTTACATTTTCCTAGATCACAAAGAAACAAGTATGTTTTGTAATTTGAAGCTCAACGTTGAGGAGACTGAATTCTTTTGTGTGCCTGATTAATATTTGCTAAACATTTAAGTTAATATTATGCAGTGTGTTTTGTTTTGTTCCCATGCTCTAAATTCTCCTGTAAGTGTAGGTTTTAGATGACAGAGTTCCTTCCTGTTGAAGATGTTTGTTAGTCAGACCAGGTTGTGGAGTTGCTGCATTTCAGTGAAATACAGTGGCGTACTTTAATGCACAGTGCTGTGATCAGTGATGTTCCATGCAGGCACAAGTTAAGAAATAGTGTGAAAATACCACCAAAAAATGACTAGGCTGCTCTTTTTAAGTCTCTTACAGGGATCTCTTTAAAAATGAGAGTGTCAGGGAAAACCCTAATGCAGACTGAATGTAGAGATGGGTGTGATGGGTGTCCTATTAGTATCCTAATGAAGTTTATAGAATCTTAATAGTTGCCACTGTTTGGAGATAGGTTTGGAATACTTGTTTCACTGCTGTATTGCTGTATGTGAGAGGAGACAAGCTGCTTCATGCTGCTTCACTTCCTGTAGAGCTCTGTTGTAGGTATTGCAGTATTGGATAAGATAGTTATATTTGTTTTATCTATTCTCCAGCTAAAAAGACTACTCCTTTATTGAACTTCTTGAAAAATAAACAGGTAAGACTTACCTCCAGAATTTTCTTGTTGTTTGCAAGTACAATTTGCTCATTGTATGTTGTTACATTTCTGCCCTTCCTTTGAAGAATGAGCTTTTGACCCAACTTGTCAACTTCTGGTTCATATGTTTTAAAGGAGTAGAGTGTTGGAATGGTGGTGCTTTGTGTACATTCTGGCCACAGCAAAACACCTCTTTTTGCACTGACAAAACAGATTCCATGTTAGTGCTTCCATTTTTAGTGCAGTATGGCTGAGACCCTTGTAGATTATCTTTCTCATAGCACATAATGTTATTTTAACTTCTGGCAATGGAGACAATCAAAGGTGGGGCAGATTTAATTAAAATTGTAATGATAAAGGCTGAGGCTAGTGATGTATTTGAGTTTTTTTAAGACAGTACAAATTAAAACTTACAAGTAAAAACAATATTGCTGCAACATGTTCAGATTTACAACAACAGAGATGACAGGACTTCTATTTTTTTCATTTATAATAAAGGCAGCTTTGAGGTGAGTTGTTTGATGGCTTAAAGAGATGTTTTCTTCTGTGGACAGACACTATTTCTCTTTGTTTTTAAATACACAGAGACTGAGAGAAGAAAAAAGAGAGGAAAGAAGGAGGAGAGAATTAGAAAGAAAAAGACAAAGAGAAGAAGAAAGAAGAAAATGGAAAGAAGAGGAGAGAAGGAAGAGAAAAGAAGCAGAAAAATTGAGGAAAGTAGACAGATGCCCAGAAAAAGAAAGAGACAGATCAAAAGAAGAACCAAAGATTAAGGTCTAGAACAGTTCTTTATTATAAACTGTTACACTCCCTTTCCCCTATTATTTGTATATCAGTGTCAAAATGTACTTTGGGTATCGTGTGAAGAATCATATGAGTTTGGTGTTAGTAAATGACCAATTTTTTTGTAATATTCAGTAGTAGGCATTGTAAAGGTTTACATGCTGTAATGTTTCATAGTAATATTTAAAGTTTTTGTCATGTGACTGTTGTACATGCTGCGGTAAACAGGATTGTGAATTCACTATGGAATGGAGACTATTTTTAAGCTTTCTAAAACAGCCTGGTTTAGGAGAAAAATTCTGGTCTGTTGTGTGAATAATGCTTACTCATACACTCCAGCTTTAAGAAATACTGTGATTTGCAGTAATACTTCTTTAATGTTTACTTCTTACTGGACTGTGGTTCCTTTGATGCAATTTCGGTGTTGTGCCAGACAATATGTGTTAGAGTGAGCTTTTTAGTTGAGACTTCTGTTTTCTTTGTAGCTACTTAAGAAGCCTGAAAAAGATGAAAAAGACTTGGAGAGAAAAGAAAAATCCAAGAAACTGGAAAGAGAGACTCTGAGGGAGGAAAAAAATGCGAGTAGTGCATCTGCCAAACGATCTGATGGGGAGACAAAAGAAGAGAAGGCAAAAAAGTATTCTAGTACTTGCTATAAATATATATGTATCTATAACTTGTTTCCTGATTGTACTGAGGCTTAGGCTGCTCTGCCATGACCATGTTTTAAAATTCCTTTCAAATGCTTTTTCTCATATAAGGCATGAGCTGTGTTCTCTGTGCCAGCGCACATCCCCATGATTACAGAAAGCTCTGTGAATTACCTGGAAATTCTTCATTAGTGGACAGATTTTAATATTTTTACAATTCATTATAGGAACTCCACTAAGGAAGCCCATATGTAGGTGAATGCAGCAGGCTGTGAGCACTGTCCTTGCAATGAGATAATTATTGTAACCATGGCAAGAGGAGAGGTGTTCTCCAGTTACCAGTTCCTCTAAGTTTTGTAAAAAGTCAAAGTGGAAAATGTAATTCTCAACAGCTCCATGATCTGTTTGAAGTTCAGTTCTGCCATGTGAGAAATACAGATAAGACAGACAAATTCAGATGTTTTTTCAAAGCCAGAAGAGACTCAGCCAGCTGTGCAAGTAGGAGGCTGGGAAACTCTAGTGGTCAGTGTCCTCTCTGGCTTCATGCATGACTTGGGCTATCACAGCCTCCCAAGAGCTCCTTAGTACCTGCCAGTGTGTCATCTTCCTATTGCACATTTACACCACTATTACATTGATCTCCCAACTCTGTTTGATGAATATTTTGAGCTTAATTTTCAGTTTTGTTTTCACACAGATCAGAAGATGAGTGTGTAAAGGACTACAGGGACCGAGATAGAGATTTTGACAGAGACAGAGACTATGAGAGAGCACAGAGAGAGAAACTGAGACGCCAAGAAGAGGAGCGTCGGAGGCAGAAAGAGCGCTATGAGAAAGAGAAGGTTTTTAGAAGAAAAGAGGAAGAGGTGAAAAAGGAGAGAGACTTACTCAGAGAAAAGGGAAAGAAAAGTGATCTTACAGACTTTACCAGCAGCACGGACAAATCTGAGAAAGTAACCAAAGACGATAAAAAAGAGGATACAATTAAGAGGGATCGTATCAGAAACAAGGTGCTGGATTTCTTTAAATTCATGTGTTGATTCATAGGGATCTGTGGTTTTTAGGATAAAAGGACTTCAAGGAAAATGTGGTTTCTCTGTTGAAACTTCTCCCTGTTCTGCAACAAACTCTGCCATTGCTAGGAATGTCCACTGAAATTTGCTTAACAGTGGTATTTCTTGTCACTGTGTAAGAACTAATCCAAGAAAACATGGTTTAAATTTTAAGACACTGATCCCTTTTTGTTTGCTGACTTGTGCCATGGGCTATCTCTTTAAGGTGTTGGTAGAGTATCAGTAATCTGTTTCTGTCTGCTGATCTTATAGGTGCCTGAAAATGCATCTCAGTAGGAGTGTGATTGAACAGGTTCCTTAAAATAGGAAACTGCAACTTGCAGAATATGAATGTCCTCTAGGCTCAAGAAATAATGTCTTGAGTGTAGTTTTATGTACTCTACAAAATGTTTTTGCAGTATCACTGTGCTTGTTTTCTGTATCACTTAAGACATGGTCAGGTACAAATGTAACTCAGGGTTTTGAAACTTTGAAGTTGGCCTCTCTTCTGAGAGTCTGTGAGCTGAACTCTACAGGAAACTCGTTACAAATAACCTCCACTATGAGCAGCGTTCATTGTGGTTTGAACAGGGATGTTGCTTTGCAACAGAGACAACCTCGATTTGGGACAATTGAAATTACTTTGCCACCACTGTGGAATAATTAAACTTAGCCTGAAAAGTTTGAATTTGAGCCATTTCTAATACCATAGAAATTATGCCATAAGAGCCCTGAGAGCAGGGAGTATGAAAGAATCTAAATAGCTCTGATTTATTTCAGGATCGCCCAGCAATGCAGCTGTACCAGCCCGGAGCCCGAAGCCGGAGCAGATTGTGTCAGTATGAAGACAGTGCTGCAAAGCCCCCAGATCAGGGAGTGGATAAGAAACAAGAGGGTGAGACCAGTCACACGAAGGAAGAGGAGTGACTGATGTGCCAGCCTTATGTGTTCTGACTGTCTGTGCAGCCAAAGAGCATGTACTACGCAATCCAGAAGTGCCTTCGGAGCAGAAAAGGAACAAAGGAAGAAAAGGGGGCATTGTGCTGTTGGATGTTTCTGGTTAAAGAACCTCAGTTGTAGATTCCAAATTTGAAATGTGTTCTCATTGTAATATTTTCAGTCATTTGAATTTATTTTCCCAGCATCTAACTACAGCAGAGAAGAGAATCTTTGCGAAATAGAAAGACTTTATTGCCTTAAGTTTGATAATAAATCAGTTGTGGTCAGGAGGGAATGACACCTGGATCAAAAGCCAGAACTCTAAGGCAATTACAGGCAGCGTTGGATGCACTTAAGCAGAGCGAGCTTGGAGTTGCCTGGAGTTAACACAGATGTTGCTGCGTTTTGTGGTGCTCCTGTGTGAGGCAGTGAAAGCTAAAGTATGTCAGTTTAGCACTGAGGCACATACACAGGCTGGGGTTGTTGAGGTACCAGTGGATAGGGGTCTTTTGGCACACAAGGAGCAGAACATCTGGCAGTGCAGTAACCATGTTAGGGAGGGAGAGACCGTCCTCTTCAGTGGTTCTCTGGATAAAGTAACTTAAGTTGGAGTGTATGAATAAGCTGGCTTAATAGTTGAATATGACTTGATAAATTCTCATGTAAAGTCTCCCTATATTGAAATGCCTATTTTTAATCAAATGTAGCTGGTTTGGGCATCCTGTTCTTTTCCAGCATCTTCCCTTCTCTCAAGTCTGAAACATTTCCGAATTTCTGCCCTCTTGGAACTGCTTCCTCTTGCCTCATAACTTGGAGTATTGTTTTACAGCCCAGAACGAGACTTCGCCAGTAGCAGGTCCTCCCAAGCTAGCGAATTTTAGCCATAGCTGTTTTTTGTACTAAACCCAAATAAACTCGCACAAACTCGCTCGGCCGCCGCCGTCCCTCCCTGCGTGCGGGGCCGCCGGGCCGCCAGGGGGCGCCGCGCCCGCCCCGCCCGCGCCGCTCCGCCGCCCCTTTCCGCCGCCTCGGACGCCGCCATCGCCGGGACGCCGCGCCGCTCCGCGCCATGGTGAGCCATCCGCGGCCATCCGCGCCTCCCGCCGCGCCCCGAGCCCTCTCCGCGGGGCCGCCGCGCTCGGGGGTCCTGGCGGGCGGGCCGCCGGGCGGAGCGGCCGCGGGGCAGCGGGAGGGAGCCGGTGCGGCTCTCGCGGCTGGCCGAGGTCTGGCGGCGGGGCCGGGGCTGGGGGAGGCACTGACCGCTGCGCTCTTTTGCAGTCGTCGCACAAGACGTTCAAGATCAAACGCTTCCTCGCCAAGAAGCAGAAGCAGAACCGGCCCATCCCGCAGTGGATTCGCATGAAAACCGGCAATAAGATCAGGTAACGAGCTCGGCCGGTGCTCTCCGAGGAGCCGCGGCCGCGCAGGCCTGGCCGGGCGGTGCGGGCCGAAGGCGGCAGCTGACGGCGTCTGTGCCAGCCCAGGCGCGGTTCTGTGGCCGTGCAGGGATGGCAGGGCGGGCGAGGCAGGGTGAGGCTTCCGTGCCGGTTTTTTCTGTAGTGGTTTTGCATCAGTGCTCTGCAAGTGTCCACAGACGTTCAGCAGTGGTACGTGTAAAGTGAAAACCTGAGCTGTACGTGTGGATGATTTAATCCAGATTCTGTTCTCTAGTAGTTTCTCTGTTCCTGACGTTCACCTTCCCAATACCTGTCTTCTCTAATAGCTGCCCCTTTGGGCTCCTGCATTTTCAAGGAATGGTTCCTGAGTATGGGTGCTCTGAGGTTCGGGGAGACTTGTTGGATGTTGGATCAGATTGATAATATGAAATGCTTGGCACCTGACTGTAGAATTAATTTGTCATAGTTCCTTGCTTTCCTCTTGTGTTTGTTCTCGAGCATTGTGCTTAGGGAAATGCTGGGTGCTGTGACACACTAGGTGCACATGGGTGTGGATCAGAATAAGGTGGTGGTGGGTGTGGACAAGAACAGGGTGGTGCCTGTCCAAGCGCTCTGGTTGAAAACTGCAGCACAGTTTTTTATCTCATGTACAGTCTTTCATCTCGGCTTTTTAAGGCAACAGAATTCCCTCTTCTCTTTCTCTCTTTGTCCTAGGCAGTGAGGAGAGCAACAGCAGCACTGGCTGGCTCAGGCAGTGACCCAGCACAGCAGTGCTAGGTTCTGTTCCCATAGCTGCTCCCAGCTTGTTTCTAGGCAGGATTAGTGGTGCATGCACTCAGCTGGATCCTTGTCTTCCACGTGCCAGCTTACAGCTGGGTTCTGTTTTAGCTACAGTGCAGTACTCTGAAATACTTGACCATAGGAACGGAATCTTGGAGTTTGGTCTCCTGGCACTTGAGTAGCTGGGCCATGGGTTCTGTCCAAGCTTTGTGTTAAAGCAGGCTGCAATTGCAGCGCTTCCTGCTGTGGGAATGCTGCCATTTTCCTGCTGAGAGCAACTCTGTTAACACTGTCTGTGGTTTCACCCGCACCATGGTGAAAGCATTTGTTCTTAACATGGACAAGTACGTGCTCACAAGTTAATGTGCTTTCGTGGAAAAGATCTTTTTCCATGTGCTGTTCTGCTTTCATGTTTAACAAATGTGTGTGTGCACTTTGCTAATTCGCTCTGCTTTTGTCTTAGGTACAACTCCAAAAGGAGACACTGGAGGAGGACCAAGCTGGGCTTGTAAAGAGAGACTGTCCCGGGAGCTCTAAGGAACATTGGTCTTTGTGTGTCGGATCGATAACACCCTCAAGTCATTCCTTCTGTGGTGCTGGAGTGCAGTCCCCAGTGTGGGGTTTTTATAAGCTGGTCTGGGATGTTGATGTTAACTGGGAAATTCTTTGTATCTGAAACATGGAGACTGTGTTCTATAGTGTTCTTTCAGGCATCACCGTGAGCATTGGCACTGCACAGGCTTACTAATAAATATGGACCTGAACTACTTTCGTTTTGAAAATTATTTCATATGCATGTGGTGGGATTGTAACAATCAAATTAATGGTCATGTTAGTTATATTCTCACTTAATATGAGGAACCTTGACAGCTCTTTTCAGGTAGAATAGGCTGTGTCTTCCTTTTCACTGACTGTAAACCTTCAGGAACAAAGCACCAATTTTAAAAAAAGTAAAGATCAGACCTGAAGAAAATCTCTTACAAGATGCAGTATTGTAGAGTGCAGCACATGGTGTCTGTGTACTCCCTAGAATATTAAATGAGTTTTTTTGGGGAGTCTGTGTTGGTTTGATAAATCAACACCAACCACACATGCAGCTTAGTATAAAACATTCTCAGCAGACAAGTTGAAATTTAAAATGGGGCTCAAAGGAAGCGTTTGCAGCTATTTGAAAAAGGGGAGAGGAAAAAGGGGATTAAGGGTCTCTGGGCAGCTGGCACTCCAGCTCCCCTGTGCTGGTCTCTGCGGGGCCTGTGAAACCAATGTACTGCAGGGAGGTGGAGGAGGCTGTGGCTCTGCACCCAGTCCTTTCTGTTCACAGCTGAGCTGGGGTGGCTGCTCTGGCGAGCAGGAAATCCCTGTTGCTGTGAGCCTGTTCTGGGCTGTGGCCGAGCCCATCCTGACGCTGAGGGTGCTGCCTCGTTCCTGGGTTCAGCCTCAGGTCATGGCTCTGTTCCTGACAGGCAGCTTCCTGAGGAAGCTCCAGGCTGCCATACCTTCTGTGTTGCTGCTCTTCACGCTGAAGGTAAATAGATTTATCTCCTTTGTATTGCAACTTAGAGCAAATAAGGTTGGGGACAGCATGTGCCAAACAGGTAAACGCTAGGAAATGTACACCTCACTCAGGTCATGGGGTCTCTCCTTCCTAAGGTGTGCTGCAGGGTTCTGTAAGTCGGGGTGAGCAAGGCTGCGATTTTTACCAACTTCAGGCTACTTCAGAGGTATCCTCTAGCTCCTTACCGTCTGGTAAGAGTCTGCACTCTAGTTCATCATCAGGGGGAAGCAGTAAGTCACTGCAACAGCAAAGCAGCAAACAGCATTGCCAGAGACGTTTGAACAGAGGCTCGCATGCTGCAGCTACTTTGACCTCAATGATTTTTAAAGCTTTTCTACACTCTTTTTGAAGTGAGCATTCAGGAAATAACAGCACTGCTGAGGGTTGGAGTTCTGCCTTGGCATCCAGCTTACCTCCTCCAGCCTCTCCACATCACTGCTGGCAGGCAGAGCTGCTCATAGAATTTCTCTGTAATTGTGTCTATGGGGATCTGGCTGAGGAGGCAAAGAACAATTTTATGGACTTGAGAATGGAAGGAGACAGTTTTTTCCATGGTATTTGTGAGAAAACTTTCCCGAGCAACAGATTGGACAATTTATTACTATTTATTAGAAAGTCTCCCCATTACTATAATGACTAATATTTTTATCATATGGAAGTAGCTTCTACTAAGGAACTGTTCTGGAAAATATACCCTTGTATTATTTTCCCTGTTTGAATCTACTTTTCAAACTGGACATTAAGGGATAACACAAAGGGAATTTGGTACACATTAAACTTGGGTTGAACTTAATCCTCTGCAGAACCTTAACCAAACAAATATCTCTGAGTTGAATGTTTTCTGTTGTCTGTGGCAGCTCTTTGCCTTCTCCTCCCTGTGAGAGGGAATCTCTGCAGAGCTGGGCTAACACATGATAACTGAGACATCAACAGAAGCTTTAAAGAAAAAAATATTTGGATACTCTAGTCCATTTATTTTGATGGCTATGTTTTGTTTTCTGAGTGAAAAGCAAAGTTAAAGCTGATTGTATACCTGAAGAGTATTTTTCTAAACATGTCTCTATATCCAAATCAGCTGCCTTTCTGTAGGTATGAAAAGGAACTGAGTGAGACAAAGGGGTGGGTCACTGGAAGAAAATTTTTCTTTTTTGCTCAGTGGAAAGGGACCCAGTCAGGGCAGGGACTCACATGGTGAGGATGTTGTAACACATCTAGAGAAGCAGAGTTCTGGTCCTGCTCTGAAGTCCCCACCTAATTTGTCTCAGCACAGAATACTGGGTCAAACCCATGACCAAAGGATGGGGGCAAAAGCTGTCTTTAGAGGGTTTTGGTTATCTCTCAAGAGGAGGTAATAACTGAAAACCATTTTGTCATATTTAGGTGCAGCATTTGTCAGCCATATTTTACTTTCAAATGGAACATTTAAGTCCATGTTTCCGGATGGAGCATGACTAAGCCACAGGTACTATTGCCAAGGAAATGGCTCCTTCAAGGAAATTCTCAATTCCACTGTTTACTCTGTGCTTACTCAGAGGAGGATGTAAAAGTCATCCTGTGCCCCCTCCATGACAGCTGCAAAAAGGTGACAGAAGACTAATAGTTAAAAAAAAAATTGTCAGTCTTGTCTGTCTTAACAACAGCACTTTGGTTACCAGAACTTGACACCAGTGCTGTCCATGGAGTTTGTGCTGGCATGAGCAGACTCGTGAGAAGCCAGCCTGCTCTCCCATGGCATGGACGTGGCCACAGCAGTTCCAGAAGGAGCTGCATTGCCAACATCTTCAATCCATTAGAGCTAAACCATTATAAGGCATTAAATCTAGTTCTAGTGTGTTTTGTATGTATCTGTTGTTGACCTCAGGGAATAAAAAGATATCCAGATACATCTATATATCCCCCCAGGCACCTGGACTGGGCATTCACTGGATCCCTGTTCATTCATGTGGAGGCTAATCTTCCAAGTCATTACTGCAGGCTGGGTTATTTTGGTGTCCAAGCAGTCTGAATATAGCTGGAGTTTGCTCGGGATCTGTGAAACCCCTCTCTAGCTCCCCAGAGGAAATTACCTGTGTGTCTGTGTGTATCTTTCTGCATCAAGATGCAAATGCACCTTGTGTAGCTGGGCCAGATCATCTCGAGTCCCTCAGTCACCCCTGCAGGCCCCCTGAAAGGCAGCTGGAAAGAAAACCACAACTGCCCTCCTAAAGGAGTTGTCCCTGCAAGGGCTGCCCTGGGGAACAGAAACTCCCCAGTTCCTGTTTGAGAAGCACTTCTCAAGTGGGACTGCTGTTTAAGGGCGTAGGAATAGTCTCATGCTGATGAGAAAGAGGAAGGGGCTGTTGTTTTTCTGAAGATATTTTGAAGCAGTACTGGCCTTTGAGAATGTAAAAAGCAAGTTGAAATCATCAGGGCAGAACTCCACTTGAATAACAAAACACAAGCAGGCGAGCAGAGGCTTTGGCCTTTTAATGCAGTGACGAGACATACACGCACTGTTATTTGAGCATGATCTCAGTGGCAATAAAAATAATCTCAATCTCACAGCCTTCACATACCTTTTCCACAGTTTCTGAGAATGAATCATCTTTCCAGAGCTGTTCCTGAACTCTAATCCCCACAGGAGCCACCACATGCTGCCCCCCTTGTGTCCTTCCTGCCTCCTTTGCTCTGGCCCTCATTCCTAATGAGGTTGAGCATTTCAGGCTTCCTGGGATGGGGATCTCAAGGGAAGGACTGCCAGTGTGAGTTGTTTTACACTTTGAAAGGCTTCTCTTGGCCTGCACTCTTCTAACAAACAGGGCCATTAGCTCTTACTCTACTGAGAATCAGCTTTATAATCAGCTGTCATAAATAAACATCAACCCAGAGAAGGTACGTATGGCAGAGGTCAGGGGATCTCAGAGGGAGCTGGAAGGTGTTTGCAGCATGAGATCCACCACACGTGGTGGGTCAGCATCCTCCTGTGGGCACACAGGGTGTTGGAACAGCTCCCCACAGCAGAGCAGACGTGAGCCCCAACCATGGCCATCTGTTGGGATGCAACAAGGAGTCCCCATCCAAGGGGGCATAGGGCAGAGCCCCCTCTGCAGACAGGCAGTTTTTTGGAAGGGCTGTCCCGAGGTACTGCTCCCAATGGCCATGGTGCTCTACATACACACCAGAATAGCCCCAAAAGACCACAAGACCCAGGGTGGCCACGGTGCCATGGCTTAACCCTCACTTGGCCAGGATTTTGAGTAGCCAAGTCCCCAGTTCTCTGCAGGCTTTTCTGGCTGCTATCCAGCATGGTTTTACCAGTGAATGGAGCCAGGAGAGCTTCAACGCTCATGGAAGAAAGCAAAGGCCTGTCTAACAAAGCCTCGGAGGGTCGACAGGCTCCAGGAGTGTTGGGCTTTTCCCTCGGCCCTGGAGTCCACACAGTCCTGCCCTGCCCCAGCCTCTCTGGATGACTTACAGTTGTTGTTGGTGTTGTGAGAGTGCAGCTGGACCAAGTCCTCCTCCAAAGCCCCTGCCAGCTCCTTCAGGTCCCTGGAGGTGTCTGCTGGCAGGTACTGCCAAGCCTTGCGCCCGTTGTGGTCCCTGCAGGTGGTGTCTGCCCCGTAAGCTCCCACCAGCACCTTGATGAGCACCTCGTGTCCCTGCAAGGCGGCCAGGTGCAAAGGGGTGAGCCCGCCGCTGGCTGTGGGGATGTTCATGTTGACGGGGTAGCCTTTCTTCTGGGCATGGGAGACAACCTGGATGAAGCTCTCATGGTGGCCGTGCTTGGCAAGCCAGTGAAGAGCGGTGAAGCCTGTCACAAAGTCTCTCCTGGTCAGCAGGCTGGGATCCAGGTCCAGCAGCCTGATGATGCTGTCCGCATCACCCTCGGCCACCGTCAGCAGCCACGCGTGCTCCAGGGGATCAAGGACAAGGGGCAGCAGATCAGGGCTCTGCTCAGGCTTCTGCTCTTGGTGCAGCCCCGCAGGAAGACTGCTGCTGCTGGGTGTCTTCTGAGCAGTGGCAAACCGTAAGGTGCTGCCAGGGCTGTTGCTCAGCAGGAGGATTTCCTTCAGCTCCTTCCTCCGGCTACTGCTGGGGCTAGCGGAGAACCTGCCTGAAGTCCTACCCCAGCTCCCCAGGCTGTGCCTGCCCCAGCCGATGCTTTTGTTGGTGTCCATCCTCTGCAGCGTATGGCAGCGCTCCCTGCTCCCCGGGGCCGGCCAGAGCTGGGAGCTGCGGGCCCGGCCGGCCGCGAGGGGCTGGGCGGCACCCAGGAAGGAGAACCTGCGGGAGATGCCGGCTGCCTCCTGCTCCTCCCCGCTCTGCTGCCGCTCCTGCCGGGCCATGCGGAGCCTCTCTCTGGCAGGGCTGTCCCGGCAGGGCTGTCCCGGCACGGCACGGCACGGCTCGGGCCCCGCTGCGCTCTCCCCGCGCTTCCCCTGCCCGCCCCGGCGGAGGAGGAACCGGCCCCGCAGGGCCGCGCGGCATGGCGGCCGGGCCGACCTTTGGCCAGGCTGCGGGATGGGGGAAAGTGTGGGAACACGGGGAGGGTATGGGAACACGGGGAGAGTATGGGAACACAGGGAGAGTATGGGAACACGGGGAGAGTATGGGAACACGGGGAGAGTATGGGAACGCGGGGAGAGTATGGGAACACAGGGAGAGTATGGGAACACGGGGAGAGTATGGGAACACAGGGAACGTATGGGAACACAGGGAGAGTATGGGAACACGGGGAGAGTATAGGAACACGGGGAGAGTATGGGAACACAGGGAGAATATGGGAACACAGGGAACGTATGGGAACACAGGGAGAGTATGGGAACACTGGGAGAGTATGGGAACACTGGGAGAGTATGGGAATACAGGGAACGTCTGGGAACACAGGGAGAGTGTGGGAATACAGGGAAAGTATGGGAACACAGGGAGAGTATGGGAACACAGGGAACGTCTGGGAACACAGGGAAAGTATGGGAACACAGGGAAAGTATGGGAACACAGGGAAAGTATGGGAATACAGGGAGCGTGCGGCAACACAGGGAAGGTCTGGGAACACAGAGAAGGTATGGGACTACAGGGAAGGTCTGGGAATACAGGGAAAGTATGGGAATACAGGGAAAGTATGGGAATACTGGGAAAGTATGGGAACACAGGGAATGTCTGGGAATACAGGGACTGCAGAACTGCAGGACCGGACAGAGGCACAGGGGTTCTGGGCAGCTCAGTGCTGATGCTACAGCAGAAATTGATGAACTATTTTCTCCTGCCTGAGTAATCTCGTTTAGCACTGCTGGCTCAGCGTCAGCACCTGAAGTAGCCAAAGCCTTAGGCAGTAAGAGCTGACGAAACATAAACTTTTCAAACACGGATGCTGCTAACAAAGCACTCCTGGAATTCAGCAGATATGAGCAGAATGGAGATGATAAAGGCCAAGGAGACAATCCCAGGAGAATAAAGTAACATCAGAAGGCAGCCAGCCCAGCTCCAGTGAAACCCAGCAAGAAATCAAGATACTGCCAACCAGAATGTAGTGATTGACTTGGACTGGGTGATGAGTGTCGGGGTATAACTGAGAGGTGTGAACTGGGATAGGAGCTCCTCTCTGGAAGCACCAGCTTGAGCTGTAACCAAAAAACTAACAAAAGAGTCCTTGGAAACATTCATTTGCACCCAGCATTCTTAGCAGGGTCAGATGCTGTGACATTGTCTGGTGTGTGTAAATCCATGACATTGGTCCCAGGACACTCCCTCTGATCCCAGCAGCACCCCAAGGTTGTCTTACTGAAGCAATTGCCTCACAGCCCCCCTGAAACAGCCCCCCATGACTGCAATGCTTCTCCTTGATGCTGTGCTCAGGAAGGCCAGGTCACTGCCCCAAGAGGCCATGCTCCCAGTGGCTCCTGGGTTTCTCTGATGTAAGGGAAGCCCAGCCTGGGACACTGGCTCCTTGCCGCCCAATGTTTCATTCCACAGGGAATCTGGCCTTCCTCTCTTGCCATGATCCCCTTTGTAGCACAGTCAATGCCTGGTGGTGCTGGCAGCTGCAGCCACCAGTAGTCTGTACCCTAATTTTCTTAGAAATCAGGACTAATTCTTCTGCTCCAAAAGCACCCAGTCCTCTTTCTCTCCAGAAGTTTATTATCCATGACTGCTCTGACACCCGTGGCTGAACTGTCACCAGGTGGTTTTACAGCTGGTCATGCAGCTAAAAGCCACAATAGCCTCTTGAACCTTTTTTCTTTGCCTTCCCTAAGCTTTAGCTCTGCTTTGACTTGCCCTGAGCTGGTCGTCAGCCCTTGAGGGCCTTTGCCGTTTTCCAACCACTTGGACCAGTTTTTCTGGGATGTGTGGGGAGTTGTCGTAATCTCAAACCCCAAACAAAAAGTGGTGAAAGCATAATTGCCCCCTTGTTCCCTTTCTGGAGCTGCCTGATTTTGTCACTGGGTTTTGGTGGCTTCTGTGGGCTCAGAGAGGCAGAGAGCTTGAACCACACAGCCATGAGATCCTGGTGAACAGTTGAAAACACTTGGGTGGCATCTGGGGAAAACAGTGAGCTGCTCTTGGGGAATGAAGGCATTAATGGTGCAAAGCAAACCTCGCATTTAGGACCACCGTGGTCATGCTTGCACTAGGGAATGGACGCACTGGTGAGCTCTGACCATGATAAAACCAGGGTGACAACCTTGGAGACTTCACTTGGGAGTCCAGGGGCCAGGAAAGTTACTTTGGAGAAGGACTGAGTTTCCTCTCCCTCAGCCTCGTTTGGTGCTCGTGCTGCTTTCCAATGAAGGGGAACCCAAGCGGCACCAGGCACACCCTCGCAGCTGCAGCAGTGCCGGGACCGCCGGAGCTGAGGCTGCACCGCCGGGACGAGCGGGGCGGGCAGGAGCGGAGGTGCCGCGAGGGGGAATGGGCACAGCCGCTCGCAGCCGGGGCCCGGCCGGCCCGAGCCGTCCGGCGGAGCTGGGACACGGCAAGTGCGCGGACATTCCGCCTGAAACAGCAACTCAGCTGCTGAGCCTGGGGGACCTGGAGGGACCCAAACCGCGGCCCGCAGCCCAGCCCCGGGGCTGCACGGCTCGGTCCGTGTTACCGCAGGGGCCGCAGGGCACCGGGACAGGTCCCCCCGGGCCTTCCCGAGGAGGCGGCGGGGAATCCCTCCCCGCGCCGGGAGCGGGCAGGGCCGGGCCGCGGAGGCAGCCGGGCAGCCCGCGGGGCAGGCGAGGCGCCGGTCGGGCTCGGAAGCGCGGCCGGAGCTCCGCGCCCGCCCGAACCTCCGCCCGCCCCGCCCGCAGCCCGGGCTGCACCATCGCGGGCTGCTGCGGGGAGGCACCGGCGGCCCCGCTCCTCACGGAACGCGGCGGCGGCGGCGGGACCGGCGGGGCCGGTGGGGCCGAGCAGGGCCGGGAGGCGGCGGGGCGGGGCGGGCAGCGCGGGCGGGGCGGGCTCGGGGCGCGGCGGGGCCCCCCCGCGCGGGGCCGCGGTGGGCGCGCCCGGAGCCGCCCGCAGGCCGGGGCGGAACGTGCGGCGGGCGCGCAGCGATGGCGGCGGCCGAGGTGGCGCGGCAGGTGCGGGCGGGCGCGGGGCCGCGGCTCCGGGGCGGAGGGCCCGGACCGGGCAGCGCCGGGCGGCAGAGCCGGGCAGGGCCGGGGCGGCGGGGCCCCATCAGGGGGCGCCGGGCGGGCTGCGAGGACACCGGCCTGGGGCCTCCCGAGGGTTGCGAGACTCGGTTCGGAGCGGCGGCGGCTCCCGGAGGGTCGGGCTTTGGGGGCTGGGGTTACCTGGGGTAGAGGGTGTTGGGGTCCCCTCGCTGCAGCCCGGCCCGGCGACCTTGGGCTGCCCGCACCGCGGCGGGCCGGGGTCCTGCCCCGCCGGTGCCCCGGGCCGGAGCCGCCGCGCTGGCGGGGCCGGCCGGGCTGCAGCGCCCGGGAGGCCGGGCCGTGCTCCCTCACCCGGGGCTGGGGGCCCTCGGCGGGCCGGGGCACGGCAGTGGCATCCCTGGCTCTCCGGGGATGCTGCTCTCCTCCCGGGGAAACCCTCAGTGCTCGGTGGTGCGCGATGCGGAAGGAAGGTCTCCGGTCTGGCACCGTGTGCCGCGGAGGAGCTGTGGCAGCCGAGCACCGGCACCGTGTCCCCGCTGCGCTTTGTCCCGAGGGTCCCGGTGCTGCCAGCGGCCACTGCCGGGCTCACCGCCTGCCTAGCGCGGCACAAGATCCCTGTGTGCCTGCGAGAATTATCCAGAAGAGGAGCACAGGGAGTTGAGCCACCTCTGCGTTTGTCAGAGAAATGCTAAGGAGGCATCTGTATCGCGTTTGCATGTGGAAGGGTTTTGTCTGTGGTTTGATGGGCTTCCAACTTTCATGTCCATGTGTTAATACAGAAGTAACACTTGAGGTAAATGCTTTCCAGTTTCGTCTTCAAAGCAGTATGTTTTAGCATGGACCCAGTCTTGCTGAACGAGTAGATGTAGCCATTCCTTGCCAGTTTGTGATGTTATTTCCTCCTGGACATACCCATTGCCTTGTATGTGACTGCCAAAATATGTGAAGTGACTCAGTTACTCCCCTGTCTTTTAAAGAAATTGAGTGTTATGCTTTCCTAAGATAATGTACAGGAGTTTGAGACATCTATTTGTGGCCTGGAATGAATTTATGATACTGCACAGCTTCACTTTGGAGGCAAAAGGGAAAGCTGGCTGTGAGACAGACTTGAAATTAGTGTGCTACAAATTGAAAATGTCCTTTTACAAGCAGGTAACTTGTCAGTCAAGGTCTTGGGCATCTGGTCATGTCTGGTTCGTGGAGCAGTCAGCTGTAATGTCCTGGTGGTGTAGGGCTCTGTGTGTGCCAACAGGGTTAAAGGTGTGAGAGCTGGGGCTGGGTTTGGGGAGGAGCTGGGGTTACAACCTGCCATTGTCCCAGAGAACCCTTCATCAAGCCCACACTTACTGCAGGGATAGTTGGTGAATCCCCCTTATCCCCAGGTAGGCAGGGTGGCCTTGTCACCACCAAGCTGGGCTCCTTCTCCTGTCCTCTGCCAGCGGGGAGGATGGGTGCAGGGGACGTCTTGCCAGGCACTGTCCAACTGTCCGTATCCTGCAGAGGTCAGAAACATTATTGTGACTGCTGATAGTGATGTGTATCTTCTAACTGCTGACTTCTCCTGGGAATGTATCCAAACTGCTTGGCATTTCTGCAGCCTTTTGTCAGGGGCATAAAGAAGTGTAATCTTAAGAGCTGTCAGAATTTGAGATTTCGGAAGCACTTGGCTGTTTGTGAATGTTGAATGGCCGAGTGTTGCAATGCGTCTGGAGAGGGTGGTTGATGGTCAGGACCTTTGGTGAGACACTTCTTGCTTTTCATGGGGCTTGATTCAAAACTATTTCCCTCCCACTTTTCTGGTGTTTTTCGTTTACATTCTTGATGATCTTTTATCAGCTGAGCAAGGAAAAATAATACAAAGTCTTTATCTAGACTTTACATTCCTGATTTACATTTATCTTGTGGAGGATGTTTATACTGTCTGCTGGATAATTCTTTCATTATATGGGAGAACTGCATAATTGTACAAGTGTTGCTCTAATTTGCTGTTTAATCAGAACCAAATGCAGTCTGGGGAAGTGTATACCATAACTCCAAGGTCACAAGAAAGGATCTGATGTTGTTCTGGCTTAAAGACGATGTGAAAAACGGTGGTGTGGAAACCTGAGTTCAGGTTCTGCCTTGCTTTGCCATTTGACTTCTCGTGCGAGAGTTGTCTCAGGTTTGGGGGTTGAGCCCCCAGGTTTCAGCATCAAGGGCAGCAGAGGGGCAGGAGGTGGCTGCCGTGAGCTCTGGCAGCAGTGGTGGAGCTCTGTGAGCGTTGCTTTCTTTGGTTTCATTGCAGGATAGTGCTCCTGTGTTTATTGTGGCAGTTTGGAAATCCTTCTAAGGCCTCAGGGTTTGAAGTGGAAAGAGGTGAGAAATTTTGTCAGAAATACTGAGTGTCAGTTGTGAGGTCCTGAACAGAAACACTCAACTAGATTGTTTGCAGTATTGTCTGCAGCCTCTGAGAGCAGTTTTGTGTTGTGTGGGCCTCATTTGGACACTGGGTCCCTTGGGTTCAGAGCTGTAACATTCTTTATTCCCTTTGCTGTGCTCTGCCTGAGTATCACCAAGGGGAGGCTTTGCCTTTGCCATGGAATCCTTTCTCATCATGGCCACAGGCAGAGTCCTGAATGTGCAGCACCATTGCATGTGCTCTGCTTTAGCTCCACAAAGAGGCAGCGGCTTCTCAGGGCTCTGGGGACAGGAGGTGACAGTGCTGTACCTGCTCGTCCTGCTAAGTAGATCAGGGCACAGATGTGCATTCAGCAAGATTGTCCTCTAATCGTATTTTCATGCCAGGGACCCTGGAGTGATTCAAATACCTGAAGACTAAATCTTGCCCCTTTTATGTAAACTAATAGTTAATGGATGGTGCTTTCAGGCTTGGGGCCATTCATTAAAACATCTTGGTATTTTCCATATGATTTGGATAGTTTTCTGTAAGAATTAGAGTAGGTGGTGGTGGCTTCTGGGGCATGGAGATGTCTTTACAAAAGGCTGTATAAATCCTTCTAAGAAAGGAAGAAGTAAAATAGCTTCTCCAAGTGGCTGGTCCTCACTCTCTTTCACTCTTCAATAACCCTGCCTGATAATACAGCAAGAGTGTGTTGCTCTTTTTGTTCTTTTAATCTTGTTTATGACAAACACTCTTTACTTCCTCCCAAGCGACAACAGCCCATTTTGTCTAGGCAGGGGGCACTCTGTGTATGTGGGGGAAAAAAAAGGCATTTGGTGGTTTGGTGTGGTGCCAGTGTTCACACTGGCTTTCCTGAGATTCCATCTTTGTCTTCGTTCCAAGAAGATGTAACCTTAAAATAGAGAGCACAAAGGACTGTCAGCCATCCAGCACTCACTGATGCTCCTGGAAAAAGCCTTCATGCATACAATAGTTAAACTTTCCTTACCTTGTTGGTATCTCTTTATATGTTTTAAATTTGATCTGGTTTGGAAGATGAATGATGGAAGACAGCCTTGAACACCTTATCAGCAAAAAGCTTATAAGCTTAACATATTCTCCTCCAGTGTTGAACAAGGGGATCCAAACCTACATTTAATATACACCCAGGATGACTAATCAGTGTGTTCATATGTTGTTTATGGTGGTGCTGTTTATATATAGCAGTGCTCCGGTACAGAGAAACCACTTGGTGCTTGAAGACTGGTGACTTGCACTGTTTCTTGGTGGATCAGACAGAAAGCGTTTATTTTCTCTCCACTGGTTTGGTAATTGCTGTCAACTTTCTGATAAGTGTCAAAACCAGGCTGATCTTAAAATGTTACTTCTTTCTATTTGTTTTTTCCACTGCATCCGGTCTCTTGATGCCTTGGCCAAGGAGGCTGTAGATTTTTAGGCAGAGTAGCACAATATACCTTGTGGCTGTGTACTTAACATGGAGACTTAGCTGCTGTGACTGGAAATCCCATTTTGCAGTAGTTGTTTCCTGGCCTGTACCAGATGTGAAGCATGGGTTTAACTGTATTGTAAAACCACAGGTGACTAGAAAAAGAACCTACAGGAAATGACTTGCAGGCTGAATTCTGTGTGATGGCAAATGCCTCCTCTTAGCTGAGAGCAGCTTAACTTCTACCATTTATTTTGTTCCATCTGGATCACACTTATATTTAGGGATGAGGGGATGATTTGTTCTTAATGAGAACCCACACTCCTGCCCACGCTTCCTGGGGAGAGTAGTGTTCAAGCAGTCTTCCAGTGGTGTGGCTTTGGGGCCGAGTATTAAAATACACTGGATATTTCTCCTTCCCCAGGAGGTGCTGTGGGTCATTCTCTCTCGCACCTTCGTGGGCTCTGTCCCCCCACTCTGCTCTTCACCAGGACCTGGGGCTGTGTCTGCAGATCCAACACTGCCATGAGATTCCCCAGGACTGGGGTTTTGTTTTGGTGGATGCAGTTTGGGAGGGTTTGAGTGTGTTGTCACCAATGTCTGACACTCTCACTTTCTTCTGCTTTAGCTGGTTCTGCATTACTGGACCTCAGAGCTGCACTGTCAGTAGGCAAAACCAGAATCTGCTGGGCAGCCTGAGTGCCTTCCTCGTGAACATGTCATTAGGAGGGAAGGTGCTCAGGAATTAATGAAGCACCATATTTGGTGAACAGCTTGTCAAGAAGAGTCAGACTAATACACAAAATATGGCTAAGGGGAAACATATTTACACATCACAGACTGGTAAATATGGTTAATGATCAAAGTGTATTTGGAGCCTCATATCTGAAAAAAACCAATCCAAACCCACAACAGCATAACAGTCACAGGACAAGAAAACATGCTGACAGGCTACTGTAGTAAATGTACTCCTCGGGGATGTTTTCCCAGCCTAAAATACCAGTGCCATTAGCAGAAGAGGGAAAACCAGTATTCCTGTCCCTATAAACAGGCTTTCAAGATATGTGAAAGCATGATTGTGAAAATAAATTCAAAATCACACCCTATAAACTACTGCCTTTTGGCTGTAGTATTTTTTGCAAACTGATGGAAGGCTAGAGGGGAATTTTCTGATTTTCACACTAATATACATTTTTAAGAAAAGCCTTTGCTTCAGAGAGGGAAATACCTTTTTAGGGCTGCAGGAGGACAACTCTCCAGTACACACCAATACAGGGGTGCGGCACTGGCTCTTCATTTTGCCTGGTGCCATTTCTGAGGCTGAGCTTCTATGTGTTGTGTTTTGCTGTCAGCTGGGCGGGGTTGGGACCCAGGGTGCCTTGGCACAGTCTGGCCGGGTGAAAATTTCTGACCCCCTCCCAAAGCTTGTGGCTGTTCTGGGCATGGAGCACCATGTGCTCTGCTTGGCTGGGGAGCCCAGATTAGTGGTGTTGAGCTCAGGAGAGAGCAGGGTGAGGAGCAGCTTCTTGGGAAGTCCTTCAGGTGGCTGGGCAGGAGCAGCCCTTGTCCCCCAGCAGGAGGTTTGAGTACCTCCACTCCCAAACCCTCTTTGCAGGCTCCTTCAGGCCTGTGGGATTATGAGCAGCTCAGTTCTGGACACTTTGTTGCTTTGTTTTCCTGTAGTACAGTTTTCTTTACTGTTTCTAGCTAATTTCTATACTTGCAGCCGTGAATGGGAATTACATGTGAGTTCCAATTGATATAAAGTGAATGGTAATAGGCTTGTAGGAGGAGGTGTCATTAATACCTTGCTTTGCACAGAGGATTCTTTTTCTTTTCAGTATTAGGTGAGACTTGAGTTTCTGCATATTTTTTTGAAGAAACAAGTGTTTTTCATCTCTTCATTTCAGCAGCTGTGTTTGTGTACACACTTTACACATTTTAGTGTTATTCGGTTAGGGCTACCGTCAAATGTTTGACAAATAATTGTTCTATTTGTGCCTTCTGGAATTGTTTTAGAGAAGAGTGAAGCATGCTGACATGATTGATAGATCTGTGCAAATCTCTGCTCGGACTGCACAGTTGATTCCACTTGGGAGGTCGTAAGGGTTTATACAGAACAGAGTATTTTGCTTGCAAGTGACACAGCTATTTCATTGTGTTTCAGGGTGAAGGCTGTCGTACTGTCCCGCTTTCCGGGCACGTCGGATTTGATAGTTTGCCTGACCAGCTGGTTAATAAGTCTGTTAATCATGGGTTTTGTTTCAACATCCTGTGTGTGGGTGAGTATTTCCATTTTGGGAAGTTCTCATGCTGAAAAGGTTTCAGCTGGATGTAGCTCATAGCTTACAGCACTAACAAGGTAGCTTTGATTTCAATTTCCCCCAACTGTTCTATTTTCAGTAACGAGATTTTCTGGTGCTCTGGGAAATCCCCACTGGGGTTCAGCAGTATGGCTTTTTACCAAGCAGTGAAATAAAATGCCTAAGATCACAGGCTGTTATTATGATCTTTCTTTTCCTTATATGTTTGAATTTGACCTTTTTAAAAGAAAATAGGTACTCATGCCAGAGTACTTCATTATGAGGTCTTGTTTGGTTAAGTATTGAATTATTGTTATAATTATTTTAACAAAATACTAATCATGCTTCTCTTAAATCACTAAAAGCTATTTTTTCTCCTCCTTTCTGTGCATACTTGAATTAAGATAGTGTCTGGCCAAGCCTTAACTCTTCTGCAATTATCCAAGCTGCCATGTGGTGTGGATCACAGCTGGGGCCTGGCACTGTAGCAGGACTTGGTGTCTGTCCCTGCAGCCCATCTCACAGGATTAGGATCCCAAACAATCCCTTCTTTTAGGTAACAGAAATAAAACCTGTATGGCTTTGGTACCATAGTTTAGGAAGGTTAATGAGGAAATTAAAAATGGAGAATTAATACTTGATGGGTTTGCTGGGGCTGGTGCCCTGCCCTGGGGAGCAGGAGGTTGTATGGCCGTGGCTGCTTGGACTGAGCCCTGTCTGCAGCTGATCCCAGCAGTGCCTGGTGTGGCAGGGGGGAGAGCAGCAGCTGTGGACACCTCCTGGGGACTCAGCTGGTGGTCAGCCCTGTATCCACACAGAGATTTTCTGTCCCCTCCCGTGGGAGATGCAGCTATGGACCCAGATCAGGGTTAACTCTGAAACGAGAGTAGTAGAGCAAGGAGAGGAGAGCTGAGCCCTGTTAAATGGAGCTGAGAAGACAATTTTCCTTACAGTCACATCTTACATTTCTGTGAGATGATAAACTTTGCTGACAAGTGGAGGTCACTGTCAGGCTGAGTCTCTAGGTGATTTCCTCAGTACATGAATGTGATATGACCTAAGGAAACTCTTCTCCCCACGACTGAAGTCTAAAAGTGTTTCCTTTTCCACTTACTGGGCTGCAGTGGTTTTTTTTTACAAGTTCTAGGTGTAACAGTGGGTGCCTCCTGTAGTTATATCTTCACTTTGATGTGTGAAGAGGAGCTGAATGCCTGTGCTTTCTTCTTTGCAGAGCAGAAGTGGAATGCATTAATAACTTGTTGAAGTGAATAACAAGGACTCACCAAGATCAATGTACATTAGTTACTAATGTCATTTTTTTATGAATAGTAATAACACAATCTTGAAATAAAGAAACTTTATATAGAAAAATATAATAAACTTCATTAGAAAAAGATTTGCAAATCTTGCCCCCACACTTAAACATCCTGGAGAAAGAAAACAAAAACTCCCAGTGTTCATCTGTCATTTATTCTGTTGGATTTCATTTGTACAGCAGAGTTTGAGATGAAAAGTTGAAAGAACAAGGAAGCAAGTGAAGATTGGATGAGGATCCCATAGACAGCCCACAAAGCATGACAGAAAGGGACTTCTTTCCCCCCATTTTTCAGCAGTGTGTGGCATCTGTTGGAGGAAAAATCCAGTGATACTTCTACTCTGTGTCATGCTGGATCTGAGCCACCGATTCCTGCAGCTCTTGCTGGAGAAGCCAAAGAAAGCTTCAGAAATGACTCTCAGCAGCATGTCCAGAGTGGAGCAGTTTTTAGCTCTTATGCTGAAAGCTGTCTCCCCTATGAGACTAGAGCCAAAGCTAGAATGAATTAAAAAACCTCTCATTAGATGTTAGGGGTTGCAGATGGTTTCTCTGATCTTTTATTTCTCAGCACAACCATTTTCTTCCTAAACCTTACGTGATAAATTTTTAGTTGCCTCTTAATTCAGTGCAAAGGCTGGAGAAGTGTTTAATGACTGAAACTTTCTGTGCTGACTGTATTTCTCAGTGAGATAGGGGGAAAAGAGGAAGAACAGGCTGCAGGTTTTTGATGTAAACTTTCTCAGTTTTTGCTGGGGTAGATTGTAGTTGCATTAAATTAGTATCCCAATTTAAGCAGGATTTTGTCCCTTCCTCTGTCCCAGGAATTGCAGGGAATTTGTTCTAACTGGCCTATTCAGTGCAATGAGAAAGGCTGTTTTGTGGCAGAAATGCTTCTCTCTCTCCAGGGACTGTACCAAGGCACTTTGAGTGCTGTCACTCCAAAGGAGTGAGCCTGTGCTGTGCAGGAGCTCTAGCCTGGGGGAGGGAGGGAGGGATGTGCAGAGGATTCCTGGTGCTCTGCAGCAGGCAGCTCTCTGGGGTGATGAGCTGTACAGCCTGGAAGTTGCCCAGTGGTTGTTTCTGTGGTCACTGGTGCAACCAGCTGAGGAGAGAACAGTTGCTCTAATCAAAAAGCCATCTGTCTCCTCAGCCTTCTCCTGCCCTGCACTGCTGGTGCCCTGGGGGGGATGCCAGGAGCTGGGTGCTCCTCTGAGGTGCTGTTTCAGTGTATTTTGTGAGCCCTTGCTGCTCTCCTCTCGCCCCTGCAGCCAGCCTTTGCCTGGCTGTGCTGAATTGTGTGGTGTCTCTGCACGCCTGTCAGATGAAACGAACTATTTTCCGCTCTCTCCTTGAGAGATGGCCTTATCAGTCTGAGTTGCCTCAGGGCTTGTCTCCACAAACCTGCTACATTGGATTGGCTCCCATTTCTACACATGAAAAGGCTGTGCATGCATATACATTTTCTTTAAAATTGAATTATTTGATATCTAGAGCCATGGTTGTTAATCTTGTGAAGGGCAGGTGCTGCTCTCTCAAGAAAGGAAGCTCTTGTGAAAGCTGCTCCCTGCCTTTGAACAGGGAAATGCTCCAAGGACTCCTCTGTCCTCCCACAGAGTCGATTGATGATGATGTGATTGAGGCCTCTTAAATCCTGAGTGTTGTGGGAAAGGGAGGCAGTGAGTAGTTGCCTGTTTCACTCAGCACATGCTAGGGAAAAGCAAATTAAATTTCCAGGCACAAAAGGAGGAGGTACAGCTTTTGTGGTGTATAATTCAGCTCACTGCTGCAGCTGCTTAGGATGCTAAAATTTCTGTGAAAAGAAGCCAGAATGACAGTTCATTCAGCACAAAAATGCCTGTCTTGGTTTGGGAAGTTAGGAGCTTGTCCCAGCTGTAGGTTTGCAAGTCGTGCCACCACTGTTCCATCACTGTGAGATTTGGTGAAGTTTCCACAGAGCAGTGAGGATCCCATGTGCAGGTGCAGTTGGAGCAGGGAACATGTCTTACAATGAGAGGCTGTGTGGGGAGCCCAGCACAGCCAGGCTCTTGGGCATTAAGGGTGGATGGTGCTTTCTGAGCACTGATGTAGGGCTGCTGCATGTCCAGAACCTGCAGTGGTGGCCCTGGCCATTTTTTTTTTTCAAATATCCTTGAATATCATCTGACTTAACAGCAAAACTCCATCCCATGATGATAGGTACAGCACTCAAGCTTTTCCATTGCTGTCACATCTTCCTGGTGCAGAACTCTTCCAGTAAAGGTCACTGTCTCTGCCCTGTCCTCCCCAGAGAGCTTTGTCAGCCCTGTTTTGGGACAGCAGACCGCTGTCAAGTTGCATAATCCCTAAGTATGGTTTTGGAGATCAAATCACACGTGTCCATAAGCCTGACATCAAGAAATAATCTCCCTGCCAGGGTTGCCTCTCACTCAATTTGTGTACACTGCTTCTTTTTTTCAAAGTAATTCTGCCTGTTGTAATCCCTGTTCATAATTTCTGGTTTTTGGGGAAGATTGCAGTGTCATTGGTTGCAACAAGCACAGACCACTTGTCCTTTTTATCAGACCATCTGTTCCATCTGGACTCCTGTCCTTACAAGAAGCAGTTGGCACCATTCACATCTTTCAGCCAGCAAAAAGTTGCCTCTGTGTGAGGCAGAAACTCTCAGAAGATTCAGAAATTCTTCCTTCTGTTGTTTTGGCCTTCAAAATAGCACTGTTCCCTATCTCTGCTCATATTTAATACAGCAGAACACTTTGTTAGTGTCCTTAGTCTTTTACCATTTCATGTCACTCTGTCAGTGTTAACATTCTTTCAGCTAAGACAGTCTTTCCTCTCTACTCTGCCTTCCCTAGCAGGCTTTAATTCTGTGTCAAGTCAGTGGGGTTACACAGTGCAGGGTCAGGGGTATCTGCTGGCTCAATGGAAATTTGGGAGTGCAGACTTCCCATGAGATGCCATGTTAGTGCCTGGACATTTTAACTGTGAAGGTGTTTGTATGGGCAACTCCCACCTGTGGAAAAATACCAGTTCTTATCTTCCCCTTCCAAAAGGAAAAACTCACTGAGTTCAAAGTTGCCTTTGCTGGCCCTGTGTAGCTGGCATGAGGTGGAGTGTAAAAACATACTCTGCATTTCTTAAACACTTCTCCTAGCCCCCCTGACAGTTAAAGTCAGTCCTGCTGGAAAAAACACTTGAGATGGATTTAAAGTAAGCCATGATTAACAGGTTCAGGATGTGCTTAAACAATAGTCTTGGCCTCCTATGAACATCTTTTGCCCAAAAGGAGAGAGGCAGAAATGAGAGGTGACTTACGGGGTGCTGTCTGCCCAGAAGCCAGTGTGGTTTACAGATGACCTTCTGTATCCACTGCAGGGAGCAGCTCCCTGCCCTGTCACTGCTGCTGCTCCCCTGTCACCCTGTCCTGCAGCCTTGGAGCTGCTCCAGGGCCTGCCAGGCTGTGGGGCAGTGCCACAGGAGGAGGCTTTGCAGGACTGTGTGTGGGTGATGCTCCTGCACTGCAGGGCTGAGGGACTCCCCTATCCTGAGATGTCCCATGAGGATTCCTGGCATTCACAGGCAAGCAGCCAGCTCACTGCTCTGTCCCACCCATCCCTTGGCAGGGGCTTTGGAAATGCTGCAGCCTTCTCGGGCTGTTTGGATTTTTGTCTGTTTTTACCCTGCTGTTTTCCTGGAATCCCTGAGAACAGCCTGGGAGGTCATGCAGGCTGTTGGCTGTTAACTCTCAAAATCTCTATCCAAACCATGGCAATGCTCTGCTCTGATTTGTGCACCTGCTCAGTTTTGGAGGCCAATGGTCCCTAACAAGTCCAGGCAATGAGATTCCAAGTCAGTGAAGGGCTTGTTGGACCAGCTTATTCTTCCAGTGACAGAGGTAACCTTGTGCTTTGCTCTGGCCAGTGCTATTGTAGGTACAGCTGATGCACTGAGGTAGCACAAGGGACTGCAGCCACACCAGCTCCTGGTGTGACTCCTTCTGCCCTTTGGATTGAAAACCAGATGGGTGCAAAGAATGACTGCACTGGTGACTGCTCTGGCTGTAGTTGGTGTTGGCTGGTGATGGAGCACAAGCTCTCAGCTGGCTCCCAGGCAGCTCTGCAGCTCAAGGTGTACATTGACTTTGAAATGTTAATGGATCTTGTTGACTCTGGAAAGACACTGGATATGTCATCCTGGCAATCAGGGGCTGCTTGCCAGGATGACAAATCCCAGAGCAGAGGATTTGGGGTTTGGAACTAGACAATCTTCCTTCCAGCCCAAACCGTTCTGTGGTTTTATGATTCTGTGTTTGCCTTGCTCTGCCATGTACTTCAGTCCTGAGTGAGGAAAATCCCTTCTGAGGCCAGAAGAGGAATTTGCCTGCTTGCAGGGGTGAGGCTTGGAGATTTGGACATTTGGACGGGGGAGGATGGGGAGGAGTTTCCCCTTCTTGAATTGGGCATTTCATGCGAATTTGGATCTGATACAGAGCTCTAAACCTACAAAAATAAGAAGCTCTTTTATTCTGAGCAAAGTGGGAAAATGGTGAAGTTGTTTTGGTTGGGAGCTGAGGGCTGGGGGAAGGAGAGGAGTGCTCTTGCAGCCAGACAGTCTCCCTGTGGTCCCACAGCAGGCTGGAGGAGCAGCCTTCACAGAGGGTGGGGTTCAGCCGTTCCTGAAGTTTCTCCAAAAGCCAGCTGGGCAGCTCAGAAATTGCTGCTTCCCCAAAACACAGCAGCCCTCACAAGGCAGCAGACTAGACTGCATAGGAAGTCAGGTCCTGTGAGCTCTGAGAGCTAGCTCTGTTGTCAGAGCCTGGTAAGGGACGCTGTCCTGTGGAATGTGTGCACAGAGGGATTTGTTTTATTCTTCCTGGGATGTATCTAAAACAAATTCAAGACTGGTCTCTGGGATTTCTCTCTTCCTTCCAGACAAGGGAATAGTTGCCTGTTGGTAAATGAAATCCAAGTAGCAGTTCAGTACTGATAGAATACTAGCAGAATACTGACAATACTAGCAGAACTTTTGGAAGAAGATTTTGCAATATTTTACTGCTTGTGTAGCCCCTAAGGTACGAAACCAGATATTACAGAAAATGCCCCCTCCCAGTGTGGAAGGCTGATTCTTATTGTGAGAAACCAACTGCACAACCTGCTGAGGGACCTGAACCAGCTCTCAGGGTTTCTGCACGGAAGGAAGCTATTTCTGTGGCTGCTTATTAGAGACATTGATCTGGAGCAGCTTTTCTTGGAAATGGCAGTGAGCCCCATTTCCTCTCCTGTTTTTTAATGAAAATAGCATCTTCTGTAGTGTAGTTGTGGGTTTAAGCAGGATCTAAACGATGCTTTCCCCTTCGCCTTTTCACCTCTTGCTTTTCATCTCTATTTTCTAATGACATTAATGGCCATTAGACTGTGAAATGTAATTTGCCCAGAATACAGACCTCCCATTGTTCATGGCTTTCTGTTTACCAGACGCTCCCTTGGGAGCATGAGATCTGCTTTCATCTGCTACAATTTCACCCCTGTTAATGTTTGGAAGCTCAGAGGCCAACCCATATTAATATTCAACAGAACGTTTCAACTCTTTTTCTCCAACAGGGGAAACTGGTCTTGGTAAGTCCACCCTCATGGACACCCTTTTCAACACCAAGTTTGAAGGTGACCCAGCATCTCACTCACAGCCTGGTGTCCAGCTGAAATCCAGTACCTATGACCTGCAGGAGAGCAATGTCAACCTCAAGCTGACTATTGTGAGCACAGTGGGCTTTGGGGATCAGATCAACAAAGAGGACAGGTGAGTGTGGGGGAGAGAGGCTATACTGTGACCTGGCTTTTCATTGTCCCTGTTCCCTAGTTGGGCCTGACTGCACTGCAGTTTTCCTGCTTGCTTCTTAGGAGTTGTCCTTGTCACCTCTTTGGGATGGGACATGTAGAAGAGAGGACAAAGGCTCTGGAGTGTCAGCACTGCTTCAGCTGTAAAGCAGCTTTTCTCATGCTGTCAGAGCAATTTCTGCCCTGCTGGCAAGCTTCTGCCCAAATTCATCTGGTGGGGAGACTGAAATGCTCCAGGGCATCTGGGCTTGTTTTGGTTTGTGCTGACCTCAAGCTGCTGACCAAACCACTAGTGTGGTGTAGTCTCTGCTTGTCTTAATATCCACTTTTGGCAGGGCTCTTCCATGGGAAGAGCCAAAGGAAGCACAATAAATGGGCAGTGAGATACCTTGTGGCAGTGTCTCTGGCAGCTCACATCCCAGAGTGGCTGGAGTGTGTTGGTTAAGGGATGTGCAGTTATACCAGACAGTCTCCAGGGTGTATCTCTGCAGAGACATTGCTGATGGGATTGCTTTTTTGTGGGTCTGCTAGATATTTTTTTTAAGTTTGTTTAAAATGCATGGATGTCCTTTACATTGTGGCTCTGCAGGCTCTGTATTTCAGAAGGCCTTGCAAGGGAATTGCAGGAATTTCCTGCCTCAGAGCACTGGGCAAAGGTGGTACTGAATGAAGCTGTGTCTTCACCAGCAGCACTCAGGGCTGTGAGAGCAGCAAGCCATTCACTCCCTGAGTGCACACAAGGGTTACAAACTGCTGCAAATGAGTCTCCATTAGCCTTGCTTTAGAAGGTCTCTCACCCCTGCATTTGAAAATATGAGAGTCTGCTTTCCCTGGAGAGGATGGTGCATCTACTAAATCCCAGTGCTGTGTTTTGACAAACAGGCTGCTAGAGTCTGATGTAGGACCATGTCTCCTTGTCAGCAGTGCAACTTTAAAATTTCTTACAGGTGGGGAGCAAGGGACATAGAGAGAATTGGTCTTAGAAAGTGGAAAATTAAATCTATCAATAGCTTGTTTCTTACAATTAAGCCAAGGGGCATTGTCCTATTTGTTTGGCTCTCTGACTGTGAGTTGTATAGCTTTTTTTTTTTTTCCTTTCACCAAAGCTATAAGCCCATTGTTGAGTTCATTGATGCTCAGTTTGAAGCCTACTTGCAAGAAGAACTGAAGATAAAGAGAGTCTTGCACAACTACCATGACACCCGGATCCACGCTTGCTTGTACTTCATTGCCCCCACCGGCCATTCCCTGAAGTCCCTGGACTTGGTAACGATGAAGAAGCTTGACAGCAAGGTTGGCACAACTAGCTCTTACTGGGTGGATTTGCTGTTTGCATTGTGGAAAGGCTGCTGCTTTTCCAGAGGACCTCCCCACCTTGAATAGCCCTTCTGGTGGAAATGACTGAATTGGCAGATAATTCTATAGATTGATTGAGCACTTACAAGTTTTTGAAGGTTGTAATGCAGACTTAGAGAAACTCCCAGGAGCAAAGTTGATTTCTTCATACCTCTGTTTTTTTCTAGGTGAACATCATTCCTATCATTGCCAAATCTGATGCCATTTCCAAGAGTGAGCTGACCAAGTTTAAAATTAAAATCACAAGTGAACTGGTCAGTAATGGGGTGCAGATCTACCAGTTCCCGACAGATGATGAATCAGTGGCGGAGATAAATGGGACAATGAATGTGAGTGACCGAGTTCTTGCTCCTCTCCCAGAGCAGCATTGTCAGTGTAGGGGTTGGTGGCCCATATTGGGATGTTTCTTAAATCTACTTTCCCTTCCATTTTGTTTCTTAAAAAGAGGATTTCACAAGAATGTGATCCTTGTAGTGTCATCCTAGGTTAGGAGAGCTTTGTGGTAGGCTGCTGCCTCTCTGGTGGGCTTTTCTAGTCAGAAAACAGACTTTTAATACCCTCCTTGTCCTCATGCATATCTGTCGAGGGACGTATAAGAAATCAGTGTTTAAACCCTTTGCAGCTCAAGGGTTTGTCATTATTCCTGTCCTATACATCACCTGATGGTCTCCCGCCAGTAGACTTCCAGTGGCAAGGAATTACACAGCTTAACCAGCAAGGTGTGGAAAACAGTACACAACTTGGGCCAGACATGCCTCAAGGTGCCTGCAGGTTCCTAGTCTGGCTCTGGCCTTACCACAGTTGTGGCTCTTTGAGGATGAAACAAACTGTCCCTTGCCTTTCTGGCAGCACATCCTGACCATGATCCCATTTTCCAGAAGGCTTTTCCTGGGAAATCTAGTAGGGGAAGTTAATTGATTTACTGCTGTGGGTGTAGTAGAGGTCTAGCTGATGTGCATTTGTGCCACCTCTTGATTTAGTATTAATAGTTGTAGAGTGTTTTGGAGAGGCCTGAAAGAAACATGAAGTTTGTCCCGTTGTAGGAGCTGTCAGTGATGGTTTCCTGGTCAGAGCAGTTCCGTGTTTAGCCCTTCTGAGGGTGGAAGTGAACCTCTGCTTGTCTTTGCTTTCAGCCATTTACTTGTCTCCTGGGAGGGAACTGCTGTCTTGGGTTGCAGACGTTGTGGGTTGTGTCAGTCGCTGCACAGACAAATCAATTCTTACATCCTCTGTAGGATTACCAGGTTTATGGGGACTAAGCAGGCCAGATTTTGACCAAGGCAGTTTTGCAGATCTGGAAAACTTGTATCCAAATACTGATATTATTAGAAACATAAGGAAAAGATTACTCTTAATGTGTGTGTGCCCCATGTGAGAGCAGGGGGCTGAGGAATACAGGGGGAAGAGCCCATCTCTGTGAGTGCTTGCTGGCAGTTTTGCTTTGTTTGCAGTTTGACTGTATGAGCCACACTCTGAAAGCAAAAACATCATATCCGAAGTTTTTTGCTTGTACCAGCTGTCATGAACTTGTCCAAGTTTTTGGATGTCCTTTGGAATTCACTACCTGCTCCTGAGAGCAATCCAGGGTCACTGATCTTCCATGTAGTTGGCTTCCTGAGGCCCTTTCAATTGTCCAGAATTTGGTGCACTTTGAAAGCTTTGCCTAACAAATGTCACTTCACAAAACTCAGCAGAAAGGGCTGGTTCAAGGAGCTGGGAACTCAAAGTGCTGAAACTTTGCACTTGACTTCCTTGCAGCTTGGCAGAATGTAGTATAGTTCCCAGGAGCAAGGGAGGTGAGGAGAAATCTCGCTCAGATAAAAATGGAGCAAAATGGATGGCAGTGTCTGGGGGGGTTTGTTTGGCTGCCTGAGTTTTGGAAATGAGCAGACTGTAAGGTGAGATCTTCAGAGCCTAGATAAGTGTTGTGGGGGGGTTCAGTTCCAGTTTTGCTGAGCTTGCACTGGGCAAGTCTCTTTTTGCCTTCTGCAGAGAGATCATCTTTACTAAGAAGTGACTATTTCTGAGTTTTTGGAAAGCAAATCTGTCTTGTTCTTAGTCAGCCTTTGTGTAATACGGAGTGCACATCTCAACTTGAAGAGTGTGACCCAAGATCACCCCCAGCTTCACCCCCAGCTCTTACTCTGGGGGTGAAGGATGGATTTCCATCTCATGGTCTGATGGAGCAGGGTGTCTTGTGCTCCAGCATGAGCTGAAGGAGTGGTGGGGGGATAAAATCAAGAAGGCTCCAAGACCTCTTACTGCTTCTGTGCTTGTGCAGATGTTCTCCTCAGGCACGGCAAGCCCTGGGACAGCACCGCAGTCCGAACACAGCACTCTGTTCCAGCTGTCACTCTGATGCTGGTCTTGCACTGGCTCATCTCACCTGAGACTCTGTGGCTGGGAGGATCAGTCAGGTAGAAGATATAGAGTGGTAGCACTAACAAGGTTGCCAAAAAAGGACCCACCCTGCTACCCCGTGTCTTGGACTAGTGGCCGGTGACTAGACTCCCTGAGATTAGCGTGTGCATAATGACTGTCTTGCTCAGTGGCTGTGCTCATCCCTGCGTGCTGGCAGCTCAGCCAGCTCTGAGAGGGACTAACGTGGATCTCATTAAATGTGTTCCAGGCCCACTTGCCATTTGCAGTGATCGGGAGTACGGAGGAGCTGAAAATAGGAAACAAAATGATGAAAGCTCGTCAGTACCCTTGGGGTACAGTGCAGGGTGAGTTGAGCCCTGGGGTTTTCATGGCATGAATGGTGACACTTGTGCAAGGAGGCAGTGGGCTTTCATAAAAGGAGCAAGGGCCTGCTGGACTTGATTATCCATGGGGAATTATCCTTTATTAAATCCTTGTGTCAGGCCTATAGTGCCAGTTTTCTCTGCTTGGAAGGGCTGTTAAACCCAGTGGAGGAGTAGACAATTGAGGAATGTGGGAAGAAATCTTAGTTTCTGTCCCCATTTTCCTCCTTACCTTGTCTTCCTCCAGTGGAGAACGAAGCTCACTGTGACTTTGTGAAGCTGCGGGAGATGCTGATCCGCGTGAACATGGAAGACCTTCGTGAGCAGACCCACACACGCCACTATGAGCTCTACAGGCGATGTAAACTGGAAGAGATGGGTTTCAAGGACACTGATCCAGACAGCAAACCCTTCAGGTGAGATCCCTGGAAGAGACAGGAGGGCTTGAGAGAGGCATTGTTGGATGTGCTGTGTGCCTGTGTGTGTGTGTGTGTGTCCTTGGGGGAGCACGGAAAAAACCAATGCAGCAAGAAAAACTGCCAGGTCAGATAAATCCAGACTCCAGCAAAGGTCTGACTGGGAGAAGGTGAAAATACAGGGAGGATCTGCAGGACTGACTGTGAATCTGCAAGTATGGGAGTAGAAATGTCTGTGCTGCAGAGAGACAGTGATGCCTGTTTTGAGCTTACCTAGAAAGAGAGGCCAGACAGCATTAAAAGAGTAAAAGGGGATATATTTAATGAAGGGCCTCCAGGTACATTAAGGGCAGACAAAGCCTCCTCAAGGGGCTACACCCAAAATGGACAATGGTCACGAGTTTTTCAGACAGATACAAGTTTGGTCTATTTACATATCAGGTGTTAATCCTCCAGTTATGGCTTCAGGTAGTGAAGTCATAAACCCCGTTTTTGTTTATACGTTTTGGAGTGAGAGGCTGTAGGTTGTTCTTGGATCTCAGGCCCTGAAGGATTGTTTTTCCTGACCAAAATGTGAAGACAGTTAACTAACACTTTATATGGAGTTTAGAATTATGCACTAATGCAGTACAAGATTTAAAAAACATAAGGGCTGAAATCTTAAGACATCAACAGCAATGCTCCTTTGAACTAGTGTTTGTTGCCAGCTGATCTCTTTGAATTGCCCAACATTCAACATACAGAGAAGTGCCAAAAATCGTTGGATAAAGAAGACCTTGGGCACGTGTGGATGAGTGAGTAGCAAATGTGTTGTGTGCAAAGCATAGTCATGGTGAGGGCCTGATTTCAGAGGGTCAGGGTAAGCAGTTTGTCCCAAGTCTTACCACTTCCTTTTCAGCTTACAAGAAACCTACGAAGCCAAAAGAAATGAGTTTCTGGGAGAACTGCAGAAAAAGGAAGAGGCAATGAGACAGATGTTTGTCCAGAGGGTCAAGGAAAAAGAAGCTGAGTTGAAGGAGGCTGAAAAAGAGGTAAAGACTGCAGTACTTGTGTCTTCATGGCTGTGAGTGGTGGATTCACTCCCAAGTAGGTAGCTGTTGCCAAAGCACTTTCTGCAGAGTGTGGTTTAGGACTTTTTTACCAGGAATTCTAAGGTTTAACTTGGATGGAGATGTTAAGGTGTTCAGTCTGTACAACAAAACTGAATCACAGTGCTTGTTCTGTACAACTTATTGCACCAGGAAAGGGCCAGAGTCTTGATTCCGATGAAGAGGTGCAGTGTGTAAAAGTCAAGGAGAGAAACAGCCCTTGAGATGAACTTGTTTTACAAAAAATACACCCATGCAACTTTCTTAGCATTGTGAAAAATCCATGCATTTACTGACCTTTAAAGAGGAATAAGGCAGAGACCCCTGAAGATGGGTTAGGGGTTTTTTTTTTTTTTTGCACTTATGCTCTCCCAATCCTCTGTTCTTACTCTGCACAATGATACATTGCTGCAACACTGCCTGTAATTTGTTGTGGAAGGAGGCTGTTCCTCCCCTTTGTCTGGTAGTGCCATGTCCTGCTCACCTCTCTCCTTTCCTGTTAGCTGCATGAAAAGTTTGATCGCTTGAAGAAATTGCATCAGGATGAAAAGAAGAAGCTAGAGGATAAGAAGAAGTCTCTGGATGATGAAGTAAATGCATTTAAACAAAGGAAGACAGCAGCTGAATTGCTTCAGTCACAGGCTCAGCAGGCTGGAGGATCGCAAACTCTTAAAAGGGATAAGGAAAGGAAAAAGTAAGTTGCTAACCCAGAGGTATTTGCTTTTTGGTAATGGTTCTCCTTTATTATTTTTCTGGGCGTTCATATCTCCCTCCAACGTAGCCAGTCCTTATCAGGGAAAGGTTTGCAGCCAGATTTAAACCCTAGTAAGGCTGAGCAGTATCTGGAAGCATGTAACATTTGCTGTCATCCTGAAGAGCAGGAAGCAGTACTAACCTCCCTCTTGGCTTTCTGACAGCATGGGAGAGGATGAACTTGTTTTTATTCTCCAAGATTCCCTGCTCTTCCCTTGGTCTCTCAGTGCTTGTAAAGAAGTGGAACCATACTAGCTGCCAAGGCTAGGTTGTGGGTAGCAGGGATGTCCCATTACCCTCAGAGAGGAGTGTGTTTTAGTTCAGGTTCTTACTTTTTTAGCTTGAGAAAATTGCTGAAATTATTCAGGGAGACTAACAGTCTTGAATTCTGGAATCTGCAGAATGAAAGACTGCAAAATGAGAGGACAGGTCATAGCACCTTGTTAGCACTAGTACTCTTCTCCTGTCCTAAAACAGCTTTTTGCCCTCCACAGAAACAGTGGGAGATACTGCATGGCTGTAGCAGGGGTTCCCAGTGCCAGGGGCTGGTGTGACAGGATCCAGCCCCTCGTCAGGGTCTGGCACCTGGGCTGTCTGCAGTGCCTGTGCTGGGCTCCTGAAGTTCTGCTCCAGAGCAACCAGCTGTACAGTGAAACAGATCTCCCAGCTGTCCCAGCACTGAGCAGTTCCCTTCCTTCTCACTGTGCTACATTTCCCAAAAGGAGCATTGTGCCACCTGTGCAGGTGTGCAAACAGGGGTCTGGTTTTGTACCACTGCCATAACCCCCCTCTGCACAGCCCTGGGGCAATCCTTGCCTGCACTCTGCAGTTTTTAGTTCATGAAGGAGTGCTGTTAAATTGAACTGTATGGGGCATGCCCAAAGTGCTGACAGCACTGTTTGTCAGGGAAAAAGCCTGTGACTGTTAAGCTTGGGATCAAGCGAGACAGAGGAGGAAAGACCCAATTACAAGAATGAGATCCTGGTTTAGTCTTGTAGTTTAAAGCTGAAGCTGCCTCAAGGTGAATGTTCTTTTGTGATGAGCAATAAGTGCTGCACTTTTCTCACTTGCCCATTCCTTTTTCCACTGCCTGATTTGATTTGTTCATTTGAATTGCCTTCAGGGGGTTTTAATATATTTTCATACTGAGGAGTCTGGGACTGACTGGGAACAGACTTCTCTCTCCAGCCTGGACTGTGTGAGGAATACCCGGGTTCTTTCATGCTTAGAGCCCTTAGACATCTGCTCACTCAGGACTGCAGACTTCAGCCTTGAGATCAGTCAGGGTCAGGAATGCAGAAAAGAGGCAGCAGCCCTAGAGTGTCAGCAATTAGTTGCTGTGGCCCAAGTCAAACTCTTGGTCCTTTAAGTGGTTCTCATCTCAGGACATCTCCTTGAAACCAAGCATGTTGATATGAAAAAGCTTTGGTACTGTCCTTATCAGTTAAGGGCACAGAAAACTCCATGGCAGAGATAGGTCAGTGCTTCAGTAAGGCTTGGGAAGAGAACAGGAAACCTCTTTGGCCTCCGGGAAAATTGCTGTGCTAGAAATGGTGCTGCTTTCTTTGCTCTGTAACTGCTCTGAGTGTCCTTAATGATGGATTTCAGTACTTAGATCATAATTTTTTCTTAACAATCCATGAATTTTGCAAGCTGGAGCTTAACTGTAGTTTGTTTACTACTGGCTGGCAGTACAATAACCTATTTCTTTCACAGGTGACTTGTTTAAACCCAAGCTCTGTAATTTGCACTAATCATGACTCAGTTGATTTTTTTGTTGTTACATCATTATTATCATTATTAGGCCTTACATGTGTGCTGTTTTACAGCTAGCTGCTGTTTGGCTGCATGGTGCATGAGGCACATTGTCCTGGTAAGCGTCATTAACTCATAGAGCCTCGCAGTGGGATCAGTTACCTTTCCTAAAAGAGCAGACCCTGTGCAAGTCCTGAAGCTTACAAGTATTACCTCTGTCTTCCCCTGCTTTCACCCCCACTATATGTGCTCTACCAGTCACTCTCTACATGTGCAGTTGTAGAAAAAGTGTGTTATTATCTTTAAAGATTCTGCAAAGTTTAATTCAGAATTAAATCAGGATATGGAACACAGTAAATTAACGATTATATCCTCCCCCTTTTGACGTTTCCCAGCACTTCATTGGCTCTGTTCTCTTTATTCCACCTCTCTTAAAAATAAATTCTATTCTTTAATCACACAGGCCATGTTGATACTATGGCAACAATTGCTATGGAGACGTGGTGCTGATGATACAGCCCAGCTAGCCATGAAAATGTCGCTGTCTTTCCTTTCTCCTCCTTCCCTCCCACTCCTCCAAGCTGCAATGTTAACTTGTGGTTACAGCGAAGGTGAAGGAAGATGCAAGAGTAGTTTCTGTCATCCTCATTAGGGTTATTAGTTAAACTACTGATGACAGTGGTCTACTTACAGCTAGGTTGAGTGGGTTAAATTGAGCATTTTTAATTTGCTGATGATTCTCTGGTGAGAGGAAGAGGAAACCTCCCACAGGAATGTCTTGCTTCTTGACAGAGCAGCAATACTCATTATCCAGGGCAAGCATGACAGTGCCCCAGGGGCTGAGGTGCACAGGCCTCTCAGAGAAGGGACTCTGTTGGAAATAAACTATAACACACCCTAAAAACTCATCCTTGAGTCCACCCTTCCCTGCAGACAAAGCTAACACTTACATTCTCTCCTGGATAGTCCAGACTAAATTATGGTCTGCCCTTAAACTGGGTGAAGCTGATTCCAGGATTCCTTCCCTCTTAACTCCACAAAGGGAAATGGAAAAGCAAGTAAACATTATGTTGCCAGTGAGAGGCATTTGAATGTAATTTAAATGGGAACTTCCACTTAACAGAAGAGCTTCATAAGGGTCTTGCACTGACTTGAACTGGTGCTTGCAGTTGTCTTGAGCTGTCCAGTTGAATGTCTCTGCTGCCAATGGTAACTATAGAACAATGGAAAGAACAATTCTCTGCTTATCAGGCTCTGAATGTGGAAAAATAAGCTCAAAGAATAACAGTGTTCATTCTGGTGCTGAGTACGAAGGCACAGCTAAAGTGCAGCTAGAGTGAACATTACTGATTTTTGTTGGTTTTGGATTGCTTTTGGCAGTCCTCATAACTGTACACTGTTGTGTGCTGGACTTTGAATCAAATTAAGTTCTTTGTTCCCACTAGGCAAATGCAGACAGTGCCGTTTTCAATGGGCATTTGTCATTGCTAAATTAAATATGTATATGTGGTACTTTTCCAGGATTTAGAAAAACACTCTCCATATTGATCCATAAAGTGTTGCAGGGCTTCGCTGTTTTGCAAGGATACAAACAAGTCACAGTTGATGAATTCTGTAGCTTGCAAAACTGTGAAAGGATTGTTTTAGGAAATAAATTTGGTTCATCCCACTGCTGAGTGTGTGTGTGTGTTTGTCTGCATAAAGCATGTTTTGTAGTCAGATTAAACCTTATTAACACTTAGCAACATTTTCTTTTTTTTGTGTGTGTGTGCATTAGAAAACTTGTATTTTTATTTTGTTTTTTTTGTCATTAATCCATAAAACCATTAACCTGCCTTTTTCTTTCATTTTCAGTTCGGGTTTCCTGTAGAACCTTTCCCTTGGCCCCAGAGGCGAATGCCACCCTCGGCTGTGCCGTTGTGCCCGTTCGCTCACCTTCCCCACTGCTCCCCTCCCGCTCACCGCTCGGCCAGGGCAGAGCCCTTGGCTGCCGGCCTTGGGCTCTTGTGAGGGGCCCAGCTGGCAGAGGGGCTCGTGCCAGGCTCCTGCAGCCCTTGGGCAGCAGCAGGGTGCCCACTGCCCCTGTGCCATCGCTCAGCTTTTCCCTGCTCCGTGCTGCCAGAGCTGCTTGGGGTGCATTTAGCTCCTGCTGTGGGTGCAGCCTGGTGCTGCCGTGGGGTGGGATGTGCTCTCTCCACACACTGGCTGCCCTCTCCCCATGTTCATTTGCTGTTCCTAAGCCCTCATTACCCCCTGTGCTGCCATGTGTGACTCAAATAACTTTCAAGGACGTTTTGCAAAACTTGACATCCTCACAGACGTGGGCCTTGAGTCCAAACCTCTAGTTCCCAGGCTTGAGGAAATCTCAAATTTGGATCCATGGTTTGCAACTAAGTGTTCTCTGAATGCTGCAGGGGTCATGAAGGATTTCTTGCCTGGTCTCCCTCTCAGTGTGCTGACCTGGATGCACATCCTGGATCCAATCTCAGGGAAAGCTGGTCACCTTGCTGTACATATCAGTGTTTCTGAAGAAAGACTATGCTGTTTCATTGACTTTCTTCTCAGTGATTCCAACAATTTACGGTTTTAATGCAAAATTTTTTTTTTTATTTGACATCTCTTTAGAACTGTACAGATGTTGACAAGTTTCTTCTCATATTTTCTATTCAGCAAAAGCCTTGTTTTTATTGCAAGATTTGCACTAAAAAGGAGGGTGTTTTGCTCACTGGGCCAGGAGCTCACTCTGCCCAAGTGCAACTGTGGTTTGCCTGCGTCTTCTCTCTGTATTTCTGGCTGAGTTTTGTTTTTAAATAAAGAGTTCATCGGACAGTGAATTCTGGTTAACATTTACTTCTTTTGTTTTTTGTTTTCTTTGCCCTTCTTTTACAGTAACCCATGGCTCTGTACTGAGTAATTACCCCTGAATACAATGGCCTGGAATGGACCTTTACTTGTTAGATCGGAGGGTCTAATAAAACATGACAGCATTTCAGCTGTGACCTTTCCAGGGTGTTATCCTTGCTCTCTTCTATATCCTCGTTGTGATTCTGTCTTTACTATGTACTGGTGGTTATTGCTTTTATTAAACAATGTAAAATTAGTCATAACAAGGTTCTGGATGCTACAACTTTAAATCCTACCTTTTTTTTTTTTCCCTACAATTAATGGATTCCTCTTTCTCCTGGTCTCATTCCACCCAGCTAAATAAGGGATATGGAAATAAGTTCTGTGAGTTATTTTTTGCTGCAGAAATAACAACGCAGTTTAAATATATTTATTGATGACATTAAAATGACAACACCATCTTAGTTTAATTATCACATAGTTCAGAGATAAAACACTTTTCTCATTCTATTTGTTGTCATTTTCATGACATCATCTGGCTTTTTGCATTTGCTTTTTTTTTTCTTTTGCTAATTCATGCTATCTGAAGACTAGCATGTAAATCCTCGTTTCCATTTCAGACTTGCTTGTTGTGGCCCCGATCCTTCAGTGCAGTGTGGGCGGGCTCAGGGCTCTGTGTGTGGTGAATCCACACGTCCTGCTCCTGCTGAAAGATCAGATGTGTGCTGCCTCCACAAACCCCCCCAGATGCTGGGCTTTTAGAGGATAAGCACACTCAGGCCTAGCCCTGATGGTGATGCTGTTCAGTGCCAGCTGCTGCTGAGCTTTTACCTGCTGAGGTTTTACCTGGGCAGTGCTCTGCCTGGTGCCAAGGCTCAGGAGCAGCCCCAGGTCAAACCACGGTTCCTCCGTTCCCAGCAGTCAGGGCAGCCCAAACTCTTGATTGCAATGTATTTTCTCAGGTATTCTCTTTCACCATAAATACAATTTCGTTTCCCATAGTGCTCTTTGATTGCTTTGTGGTTTGTTTGGGATTTTTTAGCAAGTTGAAATAATTTGAATATTTTCTTCCTCCTCTACTTTTGAATGTTGCCCTGCTCTCAAAACCAGTCAATATTAATCTGTCAATGATTTCTAGATTATCTGCTAAAAGGACAATTTAATGTGACATTTTTTACCATACTGCAGGTCACTGTCTGTTCTTCCTGACCATTTGCTTATTAGAATGTTATTTAAAGTTACGTGAAATCTTTTTAAAGACTTTAAAGAAATAAAGGTTTTTACTTGTGTGATTTCCCTGAAGTACTTGAGATACCACAAGGAGGTTCCATCTCTCCTCTGTCAGCTGTTTCCATGTTGCCATCTCTTTTTCTTGCTTTTTGAATGTCTTCCTCTTTTTTGCTAATCTTCTGTTTTTTCTCTTTTTTCCCCTTTTCTCTCTCTGTAGCTTTTTTTAATCTGTCTTCGCCAGCTGCACTGTGTCTGAGGGAGAAGACTGCCACTTCTAGAAGAGTTTAAGGGTCTTATGTCTGGGGAGGGGGGAACAAATCTTCAGTGTTAGTGTCTTGGAAAGAAGCTCCTTTACTGACTTGCATGATACTTTAAATTGAAGTGTCTTGTAATTTGTGTGACAAGACAGGGCGATGTGGGGGGGACTGATGACCTGGAATTTTGAAGAGCAACAGAAATGTGATGTTGGGACTAATGATGTAGCGAATACATTTTCAAATGTTGTTATGGGCATATGTTTTTTCTAATGTTGTCTTTAATAATATAAATGTCACGGGCTTCCCTAAGGTGTGAAGCCTAAGGAATATTTTCAATATGCTGGTGGTTTGATTGGTTTTGGAAACCATGCATTTGGAGTCAAAGAAAATACAAACATGGTGCAACTTGCTCTGTTGGCAGCCACGAAATATTTAATTTTATCAAAGAAATAAAGTAAGAACTGTGTGTTCTCACTGGTGTCCTCCTGTGTCTCACCATCCTGTTAAGAGAGCCCCGTTGGCTGGTGGACGTGAGTCAAGTGGTGCTTTCTCCTTCCTAGCTCCACCTCCTCGCGTTTGAAGTTAGGGGAAGCGGGCGCTGCCGGGCGGAGCTCCGAGCCCGCGGTGTCCCAGCGCTGCCGGGCGGAGCTCCGAGCCCGCGGGAGCGGCCGCGGTGTCCCGGCGCTGCCGGGCGGAGCTCCGGCCCGGCGGCCTCGCTCCGGACACGTCGGAGTGCGTGAGAACGGCAAAACGCCGAGGAACCGGCGCCGTTCCGCCGGTGACCTTTCTAACTTTCATGTACATTTTAAATAAAAACCACGAAAACCAGCGCGGCTGCTGTGGTGTGTGTGTGTGCGTGTGTGTGTGTGTGTGTGTGTATGTGTCTGTGCCGCTCGCTGGGCCGGCGCTCCGGACAGCTCCGCATGGTCACGGGGAAGCCGAACCCGCTGGGGATGGCGCTTCCCGGGCCCCGGGGAGAGCGGGCGGGGAGCGGGACCGGGGAGACCGTGAGGAGCAGGGCTGTCCCGGGACCGTGGGGCTGTCCCGGGGCCGTGGGGCTGTCCCGGGGACCGTGAGGAGCAGGGCTGTCCCGGGACCGTGGGGCTGTCCCGGGGACCGTGGGGAGCAGGGCTGCCCGGGACCGTGGGGCTGCCCGGGACCGTGAGGAGCAGGGCTGCCCGGGACCGTGGGGCTGCCCGGGGCCGTGGGGCTGTCCCGGGGCTGTCCCGGGGCCGCTCCCGTGCGGGGCAGCCGCCGCCAGGGGGCGCTGGCCCCGCCGCGCCGCTCCGCCATGGCGGCGGTTCCTCGCGGCATCTCGCGCGGCCGTGACGCGCGGCCACGTGACGCGGCGCCGGCCGGGCCGCGCCGTTCGGCCCCGCGCGAGTGACGGGAGCGGAACCGGGAGCGGAACCGGGACCGGGACCCGCAGCGGGACCGGGAGCGGCACCCGGAGCGCGACGGCGCCTGCGGGGCGGGGCCGCCAGGGAACGGGCCGGGGGCGGGGCAGGTGGCGGGGGAGCTGAGGCTGGGCCGGGCCGGCGCTTCCCCGGGGCCCGCAGCGAGCCGCGGCCTGCTCCGCACGTGGGGCCTGGTCCCGCCGTACGCGCCCCGGCCCGGCGGGTCCGCGCCCCCGGCGGGGTTCGGCCCCGCCGCCTTCGCCCGCCATGCCCCCGCCGGCAGAGCCGCCGCCGGCAGAAACGCGGCCGGAGGCGGAGGCCGAGCCGGCGCTGGAGCAGTGGCGGCAGTACAGCGAGACCGACCGGCAATGGGCGCTGCGCCGCAGCTTCATCCTCCGCCACCTCCCCGCCTACCCCGGCGCCGCCATCGAGAAGTTGCTGGCGCTCTCCGTGCTCTGGACCAACCACGTCTTCATGGGCTGCAGGTGAGGCGCGGGGTCCCGGGGGCTGCCCGCCGGACGGCGGCGGTCCCGGCGCTCGCAGGACCGAGCTGCGGGCAGCGCTGGGCTGCAGGTCAGGCGGGAGAAGGGACCGGGCTCCCCCCTTGGCCAAATCTCGGCCCCAGATGCGGTTTAGAAAGTACCGCAAAAGAGCGGGGATGAAAGGGGCTGAGACAAGAGAGCTTCTGTGCCTGGCCAGTTCTGTTTGCTGGAGGTTGCCGGTGTTTGTATGTGGAGGGGAACAAGCCACTGGAAAAGTTTATGTGTGTTTTGCAAGGAGTTCTTGATGTCCCGCCCCCAGGACTCGTTTAGCTTTGTGGTGCTGTGCTGTGTCATTTAAGTGAGGAGAGTTTCCCTGTGAGCACAAAGCAGCCTGTACAGTCCCCTGAAGGCTCAGCTTTTGTGGGAGAAATAAATGTAGGGAAGGGAAGGGGCAGCCTTTCATCCAGCCGTACTGGCCATAGCCAAGTTCTGGGCATCTGCAGAAACGTCACCCGCGTTCACAGACGCCTTCAATAATGTGATTGTTTTTAACTGGACGGAAGCAGTTGCTTAACGACACCAACTTCTGCAAACTGCAGTGACAGAGGAGCTTGTGAGCATTGCGAGCACATAGATGGACTTTGAATAATGTTCTATCCCGCAGCCTTGTAGGAGAATACTTTGTGTCATCTCTACAGAGCAAAACCAATATTTTTAAATACAGAGCTGCCTGTTTCCTTTTTTTTTTTTCCCTGGGTCAAGTACTAAATTTTTCTGCCCTGCAACCACCAAAATTTAACATAGATTTTAAACAGTTTCAAATTCCAAAGCTTGAGCAGTATGTTAAAATTGAGGATATACATATATTCTTCATACACAGTCTGTGTGCTCCATTTTAATGTGTTTGTGTGCTGTCTTAATGGGGACCTTCTCTGTGCCAGGGCTTTTGGAAATGGTGCAATAAACAGTTGCAGGGTGCTACTAATAGAGGTTAACAACTCTGTGGGAAGGTTTCAAGTCCCCAAAACTGCTGCAGTTTAAGCCTGTCAGTGCACATACTCTCTGTGATGGACCCCTTCACCTGCAGCTCTCAGGGGAGATGAGATTTGGGCAGGATGCAGTCTGGAGCCATTATCTGAAGATGTTTCCCCAGAGCTGGTGTGCCTGGCTGGGAGCACTGCACAGGAACATTCTGTACTGTTAAAACAATTCTAGCTTTACTTACAGTTGCTGGGGAAAGAAGGGACCTGCAGCATTCCCTGGAACTGCCTTTGGTGTTTGGGAAGAGCTGTTCAAGTAAATAGCTTTAAAGTTTGAGGGATTTTTGTTGTTTTCTCTTAAGTCTGTTGGCTGGTGTTTGGTTTGGGGTGTTGTTTTGCTTTGTTTTCCTATGCAGATTTCTTGCCAGCTGTTTGTCAGAGCAGCTCATGTGGTTAGAGCAGGGTGCTGATAGTGACAGTGATGTGGGTTCAGTCCCCATGTGGGCCATTCACCCAACACTTGGACTTGATAATCCTTGTTGGGTCCCTTCCAACTCAGACTGTTCTGTGGATCTGTGAAGAACTGATCAGAGGCTTTGCTATGAAATCTGAGTGAGTGCTCTGCTGAGAGATGATGTGGAGAGCATCCAGAAAGCTCAGAAAACATGGCTTGTGAGGAAGGGGTTAAGTAAAAGGCGTCATTTAGTTTAGGTGCGGATGAGAGAAGGTGCTCCTGTTCTCAGGTATGTAAAAGGTGGATGAGAATGGGGCAGTGGTGCAGGAAATCATTATGCTCCAAAGTTACAGGTATCGGGATAAGGGATAACCTATTAAAGTCACAGCAGGGAGACTTCAGGTAGGTACTGGAGGCACTGGGTTCCTCTGGCCAGATTAGACAAACACATGTTGAGACTGGTCGATCTCCTCCCCACCCCCAGCAGAAATATGAGCCCCAAAGGTCTCCATCCTTTGTGAAGAATGAACAAGTGTCAAATCTGACACTGTTCTTGCACCCTGCGGGAAAGGGACATTGTCCATCACAGGTAATGTCATCTTGTCCCTGTAAGTCAGGGGGAGAAACAGATTCCCACTGCTCTCCCCTTTGGCTGCGAGAGGACGGGGGCATGTCCTGTTTTGAAGGGCGGGTGTCTGCAAGGAAGGCGGGAACCTCCCTTGGAATGGAAAATATGACCCCCTTCCCTCCAAATTATTACAGCTTTGAAATTACGGGACTTTCAGGAAAAGGTATAGTGAAAGGAACAACAGTTCTTTACTAGAATGTATATGCACACCCCAGGCTGTGTCTGTCCGTCCCTGCACACCCCAGGGGTGTCTGTCCATCCCTGCACACCCCGCTGTCTGTCTGTCCCTGCACACCCCAGGTGTGTCTGTCTGTCCCTGCACACCCCAGGGGTGTCTGTCTGTCCCTGCACACCCCGCTGTCTGTCCGTCCCGTGTCCGTGTCTCTCAGCGCCAGCAGCAGCGCCGCAGCCCCAGCGAGCCGAGCACAAACCCAGCCCGGGGTGATGATTCTCCCAGGGTGGCAAAAAAACCAAAACGAACAAAACAAACAAAATGTAACAGAAACTGTTACATTAGAGCCCTAGCAGGAGCTTCAGGGTCGGGTGGACACAGAGTGCAGGGTTAAAGTGTCACAAAAAAGCCGGAGGCAGCAGAAAACATCTGGGCTGGACAGCGGCAGCCGGAAGCGCCCTCCGGGAAGGGGGAGGCATTCGGGTCCCTGGATTTTTCCCCTGAGACACCCAAATAGATGGTGGGGGTCCTTTCCAGTGATGTAGGGTGTTAACAAGGTCCCACTTCAGTGGCTGGTCTCACGAGCAAGGGCTCACCCACCTTTGATCACCCACGGTGGAAGGAGCACAGGGCTGGCCTCTGGTGGTGCCAGCGAATTCTCCGCACAACTGTCCTCCTCTCATGCCAGCAGGAGAGAGGGAGAGGAGCTGAGCCCAGCCCCTCATCCCCTGACCAGAATCTCACAGTATCTTTGTCCTTCCAAAGAGAAAACCCCCCAGGTAAGAGAGTAGCAAGCTGCACACTTCCCCCACCATAGCCATTTCTTTAGTCTCTCTTAAGTATGGGTCATTATTTTCTCTTAGTAACAGATGGCATAAAATTCCATGAGACAAAGGAAAAATCCTAACCCCCAACAGGGTATCACCGCTATCTCATCTCCCTTTGATCCCACCTGGAATTTTCTTCCCATTCCCAGTTCCATTGCCTCCACTGAGGGCTGAGCTGTGCTGGTGAAGCAGGGACTGCAGTAGTCTGTGCTCAGAGTCCTCCCAGGGGTTTATATAGATCTAATTTCTGCCTGCTCCTGTAAATCAGGAGCAGAAAAAGCCGTTCTTGAGTGGAGCTTGAGTAGATTTCCAGAGTCCTTGAACAGCAGCATTTAGAAGCTGGTGCAAATCAGTGCAGCCCTGGCTGTTGGGACAGTTGTGGGCTCCTGTCTGTGGGCAGTGCCCTGATGCTTTCTGATTTTGGGAGGTGACCATAGCATGGAACAGGTGCAGCATTGCTCTTTCCTCCTGTCTGACAGTGTGAAGCTGTCAGGGGCTGGTGTCAGGCCGTGTTTGTAGGCTCTCCTTGGATAG